AGATTAGAAAGTTCCATCAAAGTGAGAAGAAATCGGCGTGAGAAACGATGTCTTTTCGTCATCTCCGCCTATGCCCCGACAGATTGCAGCCCGGATGCAATCAAGGATGAGTTTTACCACCAGTTATCTGTTCTTCTCCAGAAAGTGCGTTCGACAGATATTGTAGTACTAGCCGGAGACTTGAATGCTCAGGTCGGGCGTCTAGGCACAGAAGAGAGTCGTTTAGGTGGCCGATGGGGACTCGTTGGTCGCAGGTCAGATAACGGGGACCGTCTACTGCAACTTTGCACAGACCACAACCTGTTTCTGGCTAGCACTAACTTTCGGCACAGTCATCGCCGATGTGCCACCTGGCGTCCTCCCTCTGCATCTCAAGCCTGAACTCAGATTGATCACATCGCGATCAGCTACCGCTGGCGTGGTTGTGTAAAAGACTGCCGCTCCTTCTGGAGTACCTATCTGGACTCTGACCATGCCTTGGTCTGCGCCAATCTTACCTTACTTTTCAGTGGACAACGAAGTGACCGCCATCAACGGATTGATATTAGCAAGCTGGTTGCAACTTCTGTTGCTAGTAAGTATCGAACCGAACTAGCTTCTAGGCTAGCTACCACTCCACCGAAAAGTATAGATGAGCATTGGTTGCAATTGCATGACGCCATGAAAATGGCGGGAACAGTCAGTTGTGGGTTTGCGAAACGTCCCGCTTTTAAGCACTGGGTTTCTCCAGGTTCCTTACAACTCATTGAAGCCCGTCGGTCTACTCTGGGTGACCGTGAGTTTGACCATAAACGAAGGATGTTACGTAAGGAAATCGGGCAAAGCTTGCGTAAGGACCGAGAAGCCTGGTGGTCGGAGCGTGCTAATGAGCTGGAAGCAGCAGCTGCATCTGGTAACTACCGGAAGCTCTTCCAGCTCATCCGAGCCACTGGCAGCAAGAAGTCTGGTGTGAGTGAAACAATCTGCGAGGATGATGGGATGCCAATCACTAACATCCATCGACGTCTTGGACGATGGGCAGAATTTTTCGAAAGGCAGTTCGACTGGCCTGCTGCTCCGGCAACATCGGTCAGACTGTCCTGCCCTCCATGGCCGGTGTCGACTGCTCCACCAAACGGTGAGGAAGTCCGCAAGGAACTCCAACTCTTGAAGCGTTACAAATCACCTGGCCCAGATGACTTACCTCCGGCTCTTTTTAAAGATGGTGGTGACTTTTTGACTAAGGAATTGACGACGTTGTTTACAAGGGTTTGGGAACTAGAGAGTGTACCAACGTCATGGAATGAGTCGATAGTTGTCCCTATCTTTAAAAAGGGTTCACGTCGTTCCTGTAACAACTATCGGGGAATAAGTCTACTTCCGATTGCGTCCAAGCTATTGGCTTCCGTCATTCTTCGTAGGTTGTTCAAAACCCGAGAAAGATTGACTCGCGAGGAGCAGGCTGGGTTTCGTTCCGGTCGAGGATGTATTGATCATATCTTCACCCTCCGCCAAATGTTAGAACACCGCCATACTTTTCAAAGGCCAACAATCGTAGTGTTTCTTGACATCAGGGCTGCCTTCGATTCGTTGGACAGGACTGTTCTCTGGGATTGTCTATTGAAGAAGGGTGTGCCTGAGAAGTTTATGAACATCCTAAAAGCCCTGTATAAAAACACCTCAGGCAGAGTGAGGCCATACAACCACCTCTCTCCATTGTTCCATTCGAGCAGTGGGGTTAGGCAGGGTTGCCCAATCTCACCATTCCTCTTCAACTTTGCCATCGATGACATTCTGGAAACAGCTCTGATGAATGTAAGTAATGGTGGTGTGGATCTGTTGTCTGGAGAAAGACTTCTCGACCTTGAGTATGCGGACGATATTGTCTTACTGTGCGATAATGCCCAAGGCATGCAATCCGCACTTAATCAGTTGGCGATCAGTGTCCGTAGGTATGGTATGTGCTTTGCACCTTCCAAGTGCAAAGTACTTCTACAAGACTGGCAGGATTCTAATCCTGTACTCACCCTGGATGGTGAGCAGATAGACGTAGTCGAGAAGTTCGTGTATCTGGGTAGCTGCATAAGTGCTGGTGGGGGTGTGAGTGATGAGATCAATGCACGAATAGTGAAAGCCAGAGCGGCTTATGCCAATCTGGGCCACCTTTGGCGCCTTCGTGATGTTAGTCTGGCTGTAAAAGGCCGGATCTACAACGCGTCGGTGAGAGCAGTTTTGCTCTATGCTTGTGAAACCTGGCCTCTCCGAGTTGAGGACGTTAGACGACTTTCTGTGTTCGATCATCGCTGTCTCCGAAGGATTACTGACATTCAGTGGTAACACCATGTCAGTAATGCAGAGGTTCGGCATCGTGTGTTCGGGCACAGAGATGATAATTCAATTGGTGTGACCATCTTGAAACACCGACTTCGGTGGCTTGGACATGTTCTCCGAATGTCGTCCCAGAGAATTCCACGTCGTGCATTATTTGCCGACTCTGGGACTGGTTGGAAGAAGCGGAGAGGTGGTCAGTGCATGACATGGTGTCGTGGTATGAAAGAAAGCTGCAAAGGACTGGCTTGTGTTGGTCCTTCACGACTCCCTGGCTGGGGTCTGAGAGATGGTGCTACACAGTGGCTAGAGACGTTATCAGATATGGCTCAGAATAGAAGCCAGTGGCGATCCTGCTGTAACCTTCTTTTACTTTCTTCATAAAAAGTGGTTGTGTCTCCCTTACCTGAAAGATTTCTTCTGATTGTACCTTTTCGTTCCGTCGTTACTACCACACTACCTTACACCAATCTCTTCGTTATTGTTCTCTTTTCCTTTTGCGCTCCTTAGTTTTTTTTTCTACTTCTCTTCGAATTCTCATTGTTTTGTGTGGCGCATATATATTGGCGCTCTCTTGTACCAATATTCATGTGTTCAAATAAATAAATAAATAATCAGGGAACGAAAACCGTTATATCCTAGTTATGGTAGACTATTTCAGCAAAAGCTGTGAAGCTGTTCCTATACCACAACAAGATGCCCTCACAGTTACTCGTGGTTTCATTGATCATTGGGTATCTTGGTACGGCTCTCCATTTTCACTCCATTCTGACCAAGGTTCAGCTTTTGAAAGTCATCTCGTCGCTCAGGTATGTCGATTATTGGGAATCCGAAAAGCGCACACTACCGCATACCATCCAGAAGGTAACGGCTTGGTGGAGAGAACCAACAGGATTATCAAAACTCTCTTACAGTCGTTTATCAATAAGTCGTCGACGGAATGTAGGGATGACATGATACCACAATGTCTGTTAGCTTACCACGCATCAGTGCACGGATCTACGGGATTTTACCCGCGACCCTACTTTTTGGACATGAATTACGCCTACCCGTTGAGCTGCGAATACCGTTGTTACTATGCGAGGCCCAAGATCATGTTGAAGATGACACAGGTATTCAGTGTTTGACAACGCTTCTACCAGTAACACCTTCTAATATGATTTGTACCCACCGAGAGAAAACAAAAGACAGAGTCTAGGAGATCGGAAGAGTGTATTTGGCGATTACCAATATATCGGAATTCTCTGATCAAATCTGGCTAGCGATTGTGGTAGATGTTGAGCACAGCGTTACCACACGTGATCTGGTGCGGATGCCTGACCGAGCGCCTTCAGCTAGATGAGTCCACTAAAACATATGGTCAGCATCTAATGCCGAAAACTTAGAGCTATTTATTTTGGGGATTTATTTACCGCTATAATGTAGTATACATCCGTAACCTTCGCAACCGCCTAGCCGACGCCTATAGCTTAGTGAAGATCAACTTACAAAATGCCAGCAAGCACCAGAAGGATGTGTCCGATCGCAAGACGAACGGACCTGTGTATAAACCCGGAGATCGTGTGTGGCTGCACCGCCCTTTGGCTCCCCCGCCCGTCAACCCCCCGACTGCCGTCAGCCATTACGAAATGCCACCAGAGGGAGGGGTAGCATACCTATGTCCAGCACCAGGCACTGAGGACAGTGCCTCATGGAAAGAGGGGGTAGTGTAGCAGTATCAAAACCATTACGTGTGACTTTACTAATGCAAGTTTGTTTTCCTTGTCTCACGGCAACAGAAAGTGAACGTACTAGAAGAAGAAGAACAAGCCTTGCGCAAGTTAAGCCTGCGGGATAATGAGTAAAACCATTTTGTAATAGACTTTCCGTTTTTGTACTTAAACCGCGTAATTCAATTCTAAAATATATCTATGTTGTGCTCGTACGCCGTGTTCTCACTTGAGTAGCATCTGTCGGTTCTGACTGTTGTGTTGTGTTTCAGATCGCTTCTGCTCGCAGACCAACGCTAATAGTACGTGCTACAGTGCTAACGTACGATCAGTTCACAGGGGATTTTATACAAAACGTGATAAGTGAGAGGCCATAAGAAATAAAACGGCAAGATTATAATTTGTGGACGAATCAATCAGGTAAAATATAATAGATCTCGGATTTTAACGCGAAAGCCTTTCATCCATATGGCTATAGCCATATTTATAAATAAAATTTCTGGCAATATAGCTAATGTCAGTTCGTGATAAAAACTCCATATATAATTCCTAGGCAAACTACGACAATTATTGCGAACTGGATAATAAAAGCACCAGTAACACTGGATGGAGTCAGGTACTACAATATATACGGATGATTGGAGAGCTTACAGACTCCCACATAGGCTTGGTTATGTGCATCGTGTCGTTATCCACAACTAGCATTTGGTGCACTCATCAACCTGTATGCACATAAACAATATTGAAGCTGTGGTCGAGGCTGAAAGAGTTTCTAAAACTTCATGACTCCAGAGGCCGACTATTCTGTAGCCGTTTTCCATGTTTAGAAAATATTGACTTATCAAATTCAATGTGCACTAACACTCCTACATAGAAACAAATGTAGACCAGTTTTTTTGGTTTTTCAACGCTTTCCATCAATATAACACCTTAGTATTTGTTATATTTGTAGTAGGATAATTACGAATTTCCTTGTTATTTTAGCATTCCGGGAATCAACCTTTCAAAAGTCATTTCAACTGTTTGTCCTAATCTTCTTACACTTTGGTAAGCCGTAACTAATCCCAATGAGTATGGATTACAGAGATTACCATTCCAACTGATCAATCGAAATTATCATGTGGCGAACCATCCATGTTTGGTGGTCTTGTGTTCTTGGTCCATCTCTCTATAGTGTTCCACTAATTGCAACATTTCAAGTATTTCTACTTTTTTTCATAATTATTTAGTCGATGGAATATAATCCCAATTTTTTGGAATCGGCATCTAACTGTGCTATAAAAATGCTTCAAATAACGGCAGGAGTGATTAAATGGACTGCTCTTTTTTGGAGTCCCTGGGCATTTAGAAATCGTATGCTTACTTATAAATAATCTAATTATTACTTCATAGTGAAATTATATGATAATTTTTTCGAATTCTCTAGATTAGTTGCTGTTACACTTACTATATATTTTTTGGCCCTTTTACTTAGAGGTTAGAGCGTTTGATTCGGTTAACGTTTGCAGGAACTGGAAGGTTTTGTAATCATACTTATCAGGAGTTTATGGCTTTATTTTTGGAATCTAAGGAGACGATCAATGAGGAGACGGTGGTAATATATTTTAGTATCCTAAATAAGTGTTGCAGAATAAACTAATGCTCTACACTTTTAGTTCTCCGTGGCCTGTTCATTTTGATGTCCGGCAGTTACCTAGTATCTCCGTAAAACCAAAAAAGATCACTCCTAAACGCATATCAGATGTATCCACATTATTTATGCCATTGGTGTAAGTCCTTTTATTTTATTTCTAAATGTTTTGATGTTACTGACCTCGAAATTGTATTGGACCTCATGACTTGAAAACAGGCTTCTGCTTGTATTTTAGCCCGCTTTGCAACTACGTTATTATTATTACTATTATTATTATTGTTATTATTATTATTAATGGCTTTATTCAATATTATATTTTGGTGCTATACAGAAAGTTATAAAAATCATTTATTGGTTTGACTTGAAATATTGGTTTATTAGTTATCATATACATTAGTAGAAGCTATATTAATCGTCTGAAACAAATCCTATTGGCTTGTATTATTTGTGAATAAGTAGGCTAATATAAAGTAAAATAAAACGACATCATTTATTTTATTAGTAGTATTTTGAACAATTTGTCATACCAATGAAATCACATCCTTACAACTTTTTAGTTCTGATTATTTATATACCATCGTTTCAGTGTTGCCAAGACTTTCCTGGCTTTTTATTATATGTTGGACATAGTCTGTTGAGTGTGTTGCGTATACTTGACGAACAAAGCTTCGTATTTTCGTATCTTCTGTATTGTCTTCGTTTTATTTCCTATCTAACGGTAACTAATTTTCTGTGACCGCTCTTTAATACTTAGCAGACCATCCTGTTAGTATTACAGTATAAATATAAATCCGTTTGCTTTTAGCTACATATATTGTATCATCTATATATTTAAACAATGACCTTTTTCTTAAATATGTCAGGGACGGTTGAAAATTTTAGGGATTTTGGACTAAATCTGTCAGTAAGAGATTAATGAAATGTTACTCTTTACTGGTTTTTATGTTTTGATTTCGTGTCGATAAGACGTGTAGTACTAGCTTATTCATTCAATATTTTAATATTTCAAGTTATTGGCTATCGGTAGAATATAAGGGTGGGTGAAAAATTCTAGAACTTCCCAATCCTGACTACAGTTTGAGTAATTATAATTTCAGTTGCTGAGATTATTTAAATCTGGTTTTTATGTATTTTGTACTCTATATAATAGGTGCTTAATTTTTGTAAAACTTTCACATTTCGCCAATTGTCCATGTAAATTTTTGTTATGTTGTCCGTAGTTGGATTATAGCTCACACTATTGGTATCCGTATGACATATGTCGGATGTACATGGATTTTAAATTCTCTTACATGTAAGTCAAGTGTGAAAGTTCCCAACTTTTTCCTTAAGGTTTTACTATTTTGATCATATCGCAATATGAATACACAAATAAATATCATACAAAATATCACATACTATACTTTAATTTCGGTTACTAAATTCTTTTCCTACTTCATTACTCTCAGTTTATTTTACGAAATGCGTAAAAATTCTGTCAATAATCTAAAATGTCGCAATGCATATTTTAACTCTTCAGGAGGCTAAGTTTGTGTCTTTTCAATCACAAAGCCTACCTATTTGCTATTTTTATAATCAAGGAGACTTAAGTTGTCATTGCGTGAAATTAACCAATACATATATCAGTACATTCTTTTTGATTTATCCGAAAATCATTTAATTGTGATGTCATATGTACCAATGAAGTTTGTTTTTATGCTTTACTTGTTGCTTTAATAGTCGAAGTAGTCAAATAGTAGTGTGAGTGATTACTTTCAGAAAGACTCATCGACCCAGAGTATGCCGCTGAAATAGTTCTTTTTAGTGAAAAGGCTGGCAAATTCAAAGTCTTCTGAACTCTGAGTAACAATAGATGATATATTTACTATGGGATTCTTTTTCTCAGAATGTGGAGTTTTACTTCCGGACCGGTCTGTGTCGGCACCTGCTCTTACCATAGAAAATGAGGCTGTTGAATGCGTTGATAACTTCACTAGTCTTGGAGGTTTTATCGACCGTAATGTGCCTGTAGTTGATGAAAATACGGCATATATATAAATAGTTTGTTCGGTTTTTGTTAACCTACAGAAATTACAGTAGAGGTAGATTTATGTCTGCTTATCCAAGGGCGAGTATATTGAGCAAGATTCCAGTGTTTTGCTTTGTAACAATAAAACAACTGATAAAAGTAGAAGATATAGATAGGTTACACTTGTTTTATTATAGTCGTTTTTGAAGCATTTCTTGTGTGTGCTTGGATTACGTGATGAGCGATACTGAAGTTATGCTCGGGGTTATAAGTAGGACTAGTTAGCCTTCATCGACATTGGTTGTGTGTTCATCTCCTTCATATAACCTCCCCTAACCTATTGCGACGCCAAATAATTGCTGGTGTAGAAGCAAGTTAAGTCTGGAGGCTACGAAACTATTAGGTGGCGTCAGCCGGTGAATTGATTAGCCGTTAGTTTGAGCAGTATGGAGAGACACCAACTTTGTGTTTGGGGTTTAAGTGATAACAGTAATTTTTGTCTGAAGATCCTAGGTAGTTACTTAAAAAATACTAAGAAATGATGAAGAGACTTGGTTGTGAATAAGAGGATCTTTAGTGGTTACAGGTTTGGGAATGGTTTCCTCTTGCTGGATGTACTTTCTGTGGAAACTGAAAAATAAACTGAATTTGTAGTGGTTGTACCTACGTGATGTTGTGACCACAGACCCAAAGAACAACTGCATGAGGCCATTCACACGGGATTTTTGTATCAGGTTATCGACCTGTTAGCCTTGTGCTCGATGAGGCTTGCTCCAGAAGGCGGAAATCTGTAGGGCAAGGTGAGGCTTGGAATCTTTAGAGCCGAGCTATTTTAACCCCTTCTTTTCTTTGTGAGAGGACAGCTTCGCTGCAGATTTTGGTCGTCTGAGAGAAACACTTTACTGCTGTCACGCTTCTATCCAGTTAACAGTACGACATTTCCCTCGAGTTTTGAGGTAGCGTGGGTTAAAAACCGTCAGAGTGGTACAGATGTGTTCATTCTTTGATTTCATTCGTTCATTTCGAACTATATTCTGTGTTCTGTTTGTCGCCCTTATTCATACTATAATTATTTTAACTTTTTGACGTTCGATTTGTTAGCTACCTCTCTCTTTCTGGATATAAAGTGTGACAATTTAGGCTAATACATCTTTGTGCCATCCCATACGTTGTTCAGGATCAACTTTAGTGTTATTTTCATTGATTATAACCTTTTCAAGCCAATAGCTTTAATAACTAAGTCATTTCCGATTGCTAACATCAGTTCTTCCATTTTCGTTGCTTTTGTTACGTATTAGTGTTCACGCTATTGGTATGTTTGAAATTTTCTAACCCTTCCCCAAAGGAGAAAGATAAGATAGTTGGGTGTGCTCAGAGGTTATATCAGAAATACTGTAATTGACATCACAACTGCTGGTGTTTTTATCAGTTTTACAGTTTCTTCAAGCTTCATTACGATTTAAAATACTTTCATGTTAACAGCATCTGCTTTTATTTCTACCACTTGAACAGGCTCTTTTCTACATGCCTAGATTTTATAGAGTAAGCATTCCAACTACCATTTCCAAGATGAGTCATCACGACAAACAAGCCTAATCACCAAGCCTACGTCGTAGCTAGTATTTCTTTGACCAGTTTGGGTTCAAATTTCATTCAGCTGTTTTCATTTCAACTTCAGTGTTACACAACGGTATTTATTTCTATCACTATGATATAGTGATATTTGTTAATAAGACGATCTTTATTAAGTATTTGTCTGTCAGTTGACTCATTATCATAGTTTTCTAGATATATTTTTAAAACAGCAGTAGATATCTGAAGCCTTTTATCGACTTTGTCTTGGTTTTTTGTCTAACTTTACGATGTGTGGTAGTGAGAGTAAAATATGATTGATCACTGAGCCTGGACCAAGTCACTTAGCCCACTGACTTAAATATGTGGTTTCCTTTCCTCTCATTGATTTCTCCTCCGGACCCATTAACTATTACTGATTGTAACTGTGTTAAATGATGTATTATCTAATGTTAATCTGGTTCTCTATTCTTGGTTATGAATCCTTGATCTGATATGATGTGACTAGTCTTATTATCGTATTAACGTATTATTGTAGTATGCCTGAGAGTGATAAAAATGTTTTAAACCATTCCTTATATAACTTGTATTTTTGTCCTAAGTTAGCATTCAGGTCGATGATAATACATTATTGTTATGTTCCTTATGGGCGTAAATGTTTTTAATTACTTTGGCTTTTGAGAAAACAGTAATGACGTGTATTTACTATAACAGTAAATAATAGTAATGATAAAACGATGTTTTATTAATGTGTTGTCTACTACACATAAACTTTTCTTCTATACTTTTCAACAACAGTTAAAGCTCGATTAGATGCTCGAAGTAGATTACAAATGAAGGTAAATATTTTATTTTAGTGTAAATATTTCACACTGCCTTAACTCTATAGTTATTTTTGGTTTCTTGAATTTGCCTTTACTGTAGTCAGTTAAAGCTTATTTTTACTAGCGAAATTTGTATTTTGAATTCAGCAATATGTATCTTAGTAATCTGCTAGTAAAATGTGGACAAAAAATAAAAAAGTAAATATCAAAACACAATACAATAAAATAAATTTTTGTTTACTTTCTGACTACTACAGCAATTCAAAGTGATCGTTGAAGTTCTTGTCTAACTGTAGTCCAAAATCTATCCGTTTGGCAAGTGTTAAGTATCATTTGGCTTTAGTCTTATAATTTTCCATGGTTCCAAGTATCTTTTTTTATCTATACAAGAGCTGGGGTTGCTACTACATTAGATTAACATCTACATTGTTTTGTATTGACAGTAGTATCGGTATTACTGGAAGTCTAATTGCTTTTGGGTTCTTACATCCTAATGAGTAGTTTTTTGTTACATTTGATGGGGTATATGTGATTCACACCTGAGTAGTAGCATTTCTTTTACCATTTATTCAACCTACTTCTGGATATTTTCGTTTATTACCGGCAACACGAGCTTTCATAGTAATTAGAGTTTTCGAAAATCTAAATACTTTCAAATATATTTTATAAGTTAGGTTATTTCATTTACCGATGATGTTTTTATGGGTCTAGTTGGTTTAACAAACTGAAGTGAGCGAAACCTTAGGTAGGGAAAACCAGTTTATTGTTTAACGGAAAATCACTCAGTAGCTTAGTAAAATATGAAAATCATACATTAAATACATCGTTTGCACATCTTTCCGTTGTGCCTTACATACTCCATTATTCCTCTAATTATGTTGTTATTTGGATTGCTCTCAGATTTCCTTCCTGTTATCTTCATAACAATCTTTAGCTTCCAGATATTTCACTTCCGATTAGTGTTCGATACTACTTATATCTCTCAACGTAAGTAGCATACACTCAGTCAGTTAGTCTGAGTACTGAAAAGATTTAGGTGATGGAACTAATGATTGTTTATAGTGCCGATTCCCAATTCCTAAATAGATAGTTCTTAAGGGATAGGGCTACTATCCGACTGTTTATGTGACATATGTCTGGTTTTCAACCAGTTACAAACACTATCAAATCCATTCTGATCTTATTGCTTTACTGTAGAGTATATGCCATTTGAATGAGTATATGTTGTATTTATTTCACATATCTTTTCATCATTTGTTGCAATATTTCTTCTACAAATAGTCCATTTGTTCACATTTTCAAAATATTTACCAGTATAATATTCAACGAGTCGGACTATCAACTAGAGAAGGGGAATTCGTTGAAGCATTTTATGCTGATCGTCGAATCAAGTCAAGTTCAAAATCTATTTCACCTGAACAAGATGATTTGAATGGAGAGATTTTAGTAAGATAATTGATACCGTTTGTTTAGTTCTATGAATTTTTAGTTAACGTTGGTTGTATTATTTTAGTATACCTTTAGCGTAAAATCCTTATATTATGACCACATACTAATTTTTCTACGTTTCAATTTAACAACAGTAATTTGTGGAAATAAGAGTCACAAACGGTTCCTAAGTAAAGTAAACATGTGTTGTATGTTCAAGAGAATTTCCTAATGATATACGTCGTCTGTCCTATAAATATGCGACGAATCAGCATCAAATTTTTAATGAAATTTAGATATTTCTCTTATCAAATTCACGTAATGTTTAAGGGTGCCTATAAAATAAGCCACTGAAGAAAGCAAAGTTTCTCAAGTTAATTGAACTTTTTAGCGACCGTTGTAATGATTGGATGTTCAGAATGACTATTAATCCCAACTTCACTGTTCGAACTATTGATGACCTGAATTTTGAAAAATTGTCTATATACACAGTTATAGTAAACCATTTGTAACCGACAAATTTATTTGCAAAACTTGAGATAGCGAAGTATCTGAAGAGCTTGATTTCTGAGGGTTTCCACGGACATTTCCAACAATTAAAATAAAGCACTGTAATATCGTCACAAATTTTTATTTTGAAGGTTGATCAAAATTATGTACTCTAATATTCGTAAAGTTTTTGTGACGTTATTTTGTATATTTATTACAATGACTTATTTTATGCTGGATACGTACATTAACTTTTTCAATCTGCGATAATTGACTGTGACAAAGATTATCGATGAGATGTATCGTGACACTAAACTGCGTGCTTATATTCTATTCGTTATCCCTAAAAGGATATCAAATGATTCCAGAGTAAACGATCAACGGTAATCAGAAATGCCCATTCAGATAAGCAAACAATTCGAATCGTCAAGTTAGTTTGCTCAACAACTATTCACACTAGAAAACTTAGTGGAGATTGTATATTAAATCCAGTTTTATTTTTGAAATCATGAACGGATCTAAGACGACCATCAACAATCTGCAAGCATTGGACGACCGTTTCGTCCTGATGTGAGACTCCTCAGCAGTGTCCATCAGCAACGTCGCACGCGAGAATCGGACCCAGTATCTTCAGTCTTGCATCCAAACGCCTAACCTGTAGGCCGTTGAGCCAGGATGTCTAATTTCAATCAACCAATAGTATTGCGCGACCATCTTCCACTACCTTCTGTGGATAGCTAACTCACACCTAACACGGTCTAGCTCCACTGATCATGGCTTCTCACTAGATTCCGGAAATTTCTTTTCGAAGCTGATTGGGTGTGAGTTAACTACCCATAGAAGGTAATGGAAGATGGTCGCGTAATACTATTGGTTGATTGAAATTAAGCATGCTGACTCAACAGCCTACAGGTTAGGCGTTTGGATGCAAGACTGAAGATACTGGGTCCGATTCTCGCGTGCGACGTTGCTGATGGACACTGCTGAGGAGTCTCATACCAAGACGAAACGGTCGTCCAATGCTTGCAGATTGTTGATGATCGTCTTAGATCCTTTCGTGATTTAAGTAAAATTCAAAAATCTTGTTGTAACGGGTGGACTGCAGGTTAGATGCACAGCGTATTTATCGATCGCTTCTGTGACAAGTAAAACACGTAAGGACGACCTAGAGTCCCGATTGGTCCCGCTTCCCTGTCTAGCCCAGCCAGTTGAGTCTAGAACGCAAGTCACAGCCTCTGAGTTATGAATCGTTATATTTCAAACATACTCTGTTTATATACCAACCAAACAGACCACATCGTACCATGAAAATAGAAAACAACATCTGTACAATATTTAACGAGTGAAATAAATAATTGCCAATAGGGACTGCCCATTTAGAGTCCAAGGACATCATTAGACTTAACATGATAATGATTGGTATATTCCTCAGCATACCTAACAAATCTCGACCACCCCGTGCTAACAGTTTTATATATTCGGATTTAAGCCATACAGTTTGTGTGAGTGTTAGGGATATTACTCGGCTGTAGGTAAAGAGGAGTTTGTGAACGATAACTACTTGAAGAAAACTACTATAGTATTCAGTATATTTCACCACTGGTAATTTGATAATAAAATAGGAAAGTTTTTGATTTATGGTCTTGAAACATTGTTTTGGGTTTGTTAAGTTATCTACATCTTTCTTACGATCATGGGAATGCGAAAGTGATAGGTTATTTTTGTTTGAGAAATAATTTCCACATATTTGAAGATCCTAATCTGTCATCTAATTGTACTTCAAATTTATTTATCTATTTATTTGTTTGAACACAAACATTGGCACAAGAGGGCACCGAATGTATGTGCGCCACACAAAAACAATGAGGCCAGTAGCAGTTATCATTGATTTTTGTGGGGGCTGTGATAATGCCCGGGCGCCCAAACCGAGGCAGTTGGTTTTCTTAGGGAAGCACTTCTCGAGCCTTTGACCTACAGGTCTAATCCACAAGTTAGTGGGGCAACGTTAGGAGATGCAGTCCCATGGTAGACAGTGACCAACAGTATGTTTATACACCATTTATTCCCTCAGGATCCTAGAGCCCATGTTCACCATTAGTTTAGAATCAGGGTTTCCCAATTCGTTTAGATGAATCCTCCGTGTCCACCAACCGGTTTCAAGAGTCGGACATTCGCTTTTCGTGTTGTTAATTTCGTAAAGAACACCGGCGCCACGTGAAGGCAGTGAGTAGGACTTCGGTGGCAGTAGCTGTATACATGTGTCCATTTGAGAGCATTTCGAGAGGGAAAGCCGACTCCCCATCCTCGTCCGTACCAGGGCGTTTGGAGGGGGGGGGCAATTGTAATTAAAAAGATTTAAATCTTTAGCTTCTCACGAACTCTTCACCTTTTCATATTATGTACGAATTTCGGTACCATAGTTCGGTCCACTGTCAAGCTTCTGGCTAGATAATTTAGTGTTATGTAACTGAAGCATGATATCATTGAAATAGTTTTCCCTGGTTATGCTAGTGAACAGAATTAGGAGAATTTCTAGGTGCTTTGGATTATACTTCAGATCCTTTATGTTTCTTGCCATGATTTTACGTGTGATTTCGAATTAATCTACTGATTAGTAAGGTTATTGATAGTGTTTTCGAATATATTCTGATATAAGGTTGCTTTGGTGGAACATAATAAGCTCCTCAAACCTACTATTTCGATTGATCGGCTTTAATCTGGAGTTTTACTTTCTGTAGGTACTCTGTTGTGAAGGTAATGGTGGATATCCTGAGATTGGAACTCCTTGGGTTCCACTTGAACGAGGTTATTCAGTTTTAGGATGGAATCATCCTGGTTTCGGAGAAAGCACGGTAATACATTTGTTTTGATGTTTATTTGTTTATTTTCTAAATTTTGGCATGAATCACGTGATCATAATGTATATCTAATTGGCTGAAATACCATGATCACTATTTGCGCATCCCCGATTCAAAGACAAATTGAGGTAAAGGATTGTACAGTTTACAAACTTGGTCATTTTATTCACTTCTGACTTACATCTATTTTCTTTCAATATTCTGTTACAGTTAACTGGCTAAATAAAGTGTCATCTCCCTCGTTAATTGAAAATAGTTTGGTCGTACATGTGTAATATTTTTTATCATTCTAACTTAATATCTCACTGACTGGTTGTGTAGATCGGTTCAATTTAGAAGTGTTTTTTGCCATGAGCAAACATGAGTCGGAGAATCATTGAAATCGGGGAACAGTGAATGTTACGTTTAATACTCCAGTTTGTGTAGAACGTGTGCTCAATCAGCAGTTTTGAGTACCCTATGCTCCAGTCACCGTAGTTACTAGACGTTCATGTTTTGATTGACTAATTCACTACTCTTATATAGGACTCGAAGGCCATTCACTTGCCAAATTTGAGCCATTATTAAAGTTTTTGGTAATTAACACTGTATTACTCATGTTTTTTCATCCATGTTGATCATGTTATACTACTTCAACAAGGGTAACAAAACCCACGTAAGCCGTACACTCCGAGGTTCTTAAACGTCTTAGCCTTTTTAGTGTTGTGATTGAAGTTAGCAAAATTGTACTTCATATAATTTATAGTGAAATTTAATCATGCACTATACTTTGATGTACTATTATCATGTATTGAGTAAGGATACCATTTTGATTTTTAAATAGAATTAATTATAGTGGCTTGTCAACTGACGTGTTGAAATTCTAATACTTCAGTAGTTGGTTCTTCCTTTGATTGTAGTCTTGATAATTATTTCTTAGTTAGAAATACCTCAATATAATGTTCCCCTCTATATCTGGTAACTCTTGTTTTGTATTTTCGCTTATTTTATTTTCACCGATCTTTTAAAGGGGTTACCATTCCCGGAAAAGGAACAGAATGCTGTTGAAGCATGCTTTTTATTTGCTGTACATCGATTACATTTTCAGCCTAGTCAAATATTCGTACTTGGGTGGTCGATTGGTGGTTATACAGCATCTTGGATAGCAATGAACTATCCTGATATAGCTGGTTTGGTAAGCTAGTTACATGGTGCCTATATATTGTTTCTTCTACGGTACATGACACTATATAACTTTATTTATCAGTCATAAATTGGTAATTCTACTCCAATTTATTTAAACTCTAACTTTTGATAGTCACTCATGAAGTAGTTACAAGTTGTTCGAGGGATTGTTTTTTGTAATTCTCTAAATTACTAGTGATTGTCCACTTTGCATCTCTTAATAAATTTACCTTATGTTGTAGTATATTTGGATATGTACCTACAGACATATGTATATATGTATTTCTTAGTGACTTCAATTTGAAAACTAATTTGTAACAGGATATATGTATAACTGTTTGATGATACTAATTTATGAATCTTCGTATCCCTCATGACGGGTTGTACGTCGGACTTCACATGCAGTTATATTTTTTGGGAGCAAATGATCTGTTTAGCACATATTCAACTGGTTATACGTTAGAGATTCTCTTTTAGTTTTTAGAAAACTAACTATTATAATTGAGGACACTTCTCAAAATCTTGATAGAAAAATGATTTACGAGGGAATTTGGAAATCCACTTATTTTTTCTATTCAGATTGTACATTAAGCAGATCCTTTCAGTTATAAACGTCATGAGCACCAGCATTCAAACCTATTTAAAACTGTTTCCGTATGTTCTAAGTAAAATAAAACCCAGTCCTTTATCACTGATGTACGACGTATTCACTGTCTGTATGTCTTACATGAAGAATAATCACTCAAACAAAATTGGATGGAGTTGGGTTCGAACTTGCTGCATAGTTTTTGAAAGTCGACTAGTTTAACCGTTAAATCACTACTCTGCATAATGGTGATTTTAATAATGGTTTTCTGTAATGATAACGTTAGTGTCTATCTAAATCTAAAAATCAAGTCGAAAAAGTTGTCTGTTTTTTCCAATTATTTTAAAAATGAGGTTTTGGACGCTACTTTCGATAATATAGATGAACTGTCAAGACGAGTCGCACCATCTATATTTGGTAAGTCGTCCGCTTATTTTGTGTCAACAGTGGATGAAAATAAATGTTACTAATTATTATTACTTATAAGTAGTTTGAAATTTATCTGTGTATATTCGTCGTCAATACATACTGGATTATTTATTTCACGATGAAAATAACCTTTAGTCTTAAACTTCCTTATAACCATATATATAATATCGAGGAAAGCCATACGTTAATCAGTTCATTATATGTACTATAATGTGATAAATAATTATCATGATCCCGTTAGTAAACGTGTATTCTTAATTTTCTTTAGGATATGAAATGCCCCTTTGTATACATTAGATTATTTATTTATGTTTTTAAGTCCTTTAAACAGACGATGTAAGCTACTCCATCATTATCATATACTAACCTGATGCGATTGTACTGTCTAGAAAATTTTACTGTCATGTCACTTTTTAGCTTTACCAATGTTAGTCAAAGACGGATTAACGATTTTTGCTAACTCTACAGTGGCCTGCTTGAATATCTGGGCTACCTGTTTCTGCCATCTGATTATTTCAACAAGTTATCAGTTTTTATTTGTTTTAATTTATAATTATGTCCATTAATCGCATAACCTATTCAGGCGCTTTTATGAAAACCTTACGACCTTTCGCTGCACAAGTTAAGAAAAAGTACTATAAAAGGCATCGTGGTGGTTGGCAATATGCGTTAAAGAGAATGAACATTAATCGTATGTCAATTCCCGAGCTTCTTAATTCTAACTGCCGATCATTAATCAACAAAGTGGACTATCTGCAATTCCTGCTTAGTCAAAATACGTATCGTAATTGTGGTGTCATCACAATTCAAGAATCTTGGTTGAATGATTTACAGGATGACTGCCTTGTATCACTACATGATTTCAAAATTTATCGTCAGGATCGATCGAACAATAAAAAAAGGTGTGGTGGCGGTGTAGCTACGTTTGTAAACATAAACTGGTGTCGATCTTCGTCTGTGTGTTTTAAGTTTTCAAATGACTTTATCGACTGTCTAACTCTAAGATGTCGTCCAAAACATCTGAATAAATACAAATATGTTTATGTTACCAATATCTATGTCACTCCAGATTGCACATCATCTGCACTATCTGTTTTTGCTGATGAATTCACTGAGTTCGCTGTTACTGCCTTCAGTGATTCACTTTCAATTGTATGCGGTGATTTCAATTCATGTGACTGTAGCTTCCTCACGTCACTAGGTCACCAAAACGTAGTAGATTTTCCTACTCGTTTGGATGCTCATTTAGACTTCGTTTTCATTAATGATGTGGGTATATATGCGACTCGTAAACGTGCTCCATTGTCTAGCTCAGATCACTGTTTAATTCGTGTTCTACCTAAAGTATATGGAAAGCATGGGAAGAGTACACTCTTACATCAAACCAAGAAAGTCAAATATAGGAATTACTCAGAAGAAAATATCCGAAATCTAAAAAACATGTTTCATACGACTAACTGGGAATTATTTACAGATGACTCACTCGAAAACACTACTGATGTTATCACTTGTTACCTTAAATTCTGTTTTGATATTTGTTGTCCCACTGAAACCATTTTTGTAAGTTTTGATCGGCTTACATCTTCACAACTAAAACGACTACGGAGGATTAAAGAAAGAATGTACAAAGAGAAGAACTCAAATGAAGTTCGTAAGCTAAATGGTCTGATAAACCTAGAGATTAGACGTCTCAACTGCATGTTTACTCAAAAACTCTTATCTTGCAAAAACTCTACAAGTATGTGGAAATTCTTTAAAGAACTTACAGGTGACAGAAAGTTTAGAAGCGATAACCAGCTGAATGTTTGTGACTTAAATAAGTCTTTTGTACGTCAGTCATCTGATGTGATGCTCCCTCTATCCACGGGTTTAAAAAATAGCTGTGTTCATACGTTCACTGAAACTGATGTACGAGGATGTCTCCAGTCGCTTAATTCATCTCGATGTTTGGGTCCTGATGGTATCCCAAACCTCCTTTTTAAAAAATGTGCTGACGTTCTGTGTCATCCGTTCACAACTATTTTTAACAGATCTTTCTCATCTAATCTCATACCAAAAATGTGGAGAAAGATGAAGATAATTCCTGTACCCAAGAAAGCATCTGGTGATAAGAATGTAAAATTTAGACCTATTGCAATAACTTCACCTTTCCTCAAAACCATGGAAAAATTATTAATACTTCCACTTCAGCCTGCGATAAAAGAGCATACTGACCCATACCAGTTTGCATACAGGCGCAAAAGAAGCACTTTAGATGCTGTTGCAGTTCTGCATCACAACATAGTGTTCAACTTAGAAAAGGGTAAGAACTATGTTCGATGTGCTTTTCTAGACTATACTTCAGCTTTTGACTCTATACCAAGACAACGTTTACTTAACAAGTTAATCAGCGTCAACACTGACAGCTGGATAACCAACTGGCTGTGTTCCTACCTCTCTGGAAGGGAACAGTACACTGTGTTTGGAGGAAAGAGTTCAGATTCTCTACTGTCTCAGGAAGGTGTACCACAAGGAGCTGTTCTTTCACCTCTTCTATTCTCTTTTTTTCTGCATGACCTGCCATCTTCCACAGAAAACACTTTTGTGAAGTACGCGGATGATCTCACTGTATGTATGCCTATATCTTCCTCTTTACATCCCATAGAAATGAATGAGTTTTTGTCCCGTATTGATTGTTGGTCTGTTGGTAATGGTCTCATACTTAATCCATCTAAATGTCAAGCTGTTAACTTTAGTATGAGACATGAACGGAATATAAACACTATTTTGAGATCCCATAGTGCTTGTACCATCGGAGACTCTTTGATAAACGCGGTGTCGAAGGTCAATTATCTTGGTGTCACCTTTTCCTCTGATCTGTCTTGGTCTTCCCACGTTTTATCGTTATCAAAGAAGGTTTTCCGTCTGACCTACTACATAAAAAGATTGCATGCTCTTGGGATTACTCGTCATTTACTCTTACAATTTGTCAGTTCTTGCATATTACCTATTATTCTTTACTGTTCTCCATTATTCTTTCCCGGGCTTTTGAGAAAAGACTTTGTTGTATTGCGGAGAGTGCTGAAGGCAGTTAGCAAGATGTGTGGTGAATCTTTCGAGGTCATAATTAATATGGTTGTGGACAGACATTTAAAATCATGCAAACTCCTGGCAGGTGTTATTTTATCAGATACTAGCCATCCCCTTCACTCTTATCTTTCTCCTTGTATATCTTCTGGTAGAACGAGACGTAATTACATTAAAATCCTTGCACGCAAGGAAAAGTATAAAAGTTCTATAATACCTTACCTATCAAATATACTCTGTGACGAACAGGTTGTTAGAATTAACTTAGTCAATAACTTACATTCTTAACATGTCTTTAATTTTAAAAGTTTGTAGTTTCTTTTGTTTTTTTTTTTAAATTTTTATTTTATATATTTCTTTATGTATTCGCTACTGCCTTTTTTGTTCGTTGTTCAGTAAGTAACTTGTTGAAATACCCCGTGCTGAGAATTCTATATTGTACCAAAATATAATATTGAATAAAGCCATTAATAATAATAATAATAATAATAATAATAATAATAATAATAATAATAATAATAGCTTTACCAATGTTAGTCAAAGACGGATTAACGATCACGCGTCTGTCGTAGTTCAAACTAGAGGGTCCTTCAGTACGAAATAAATATTCTGTCCTTTGGATTAGTAAGTTTAGGTCGGAAGGGCAATGTTTGTGATCCAGCGAAGCAAGTAACTGAATGAGCCTAAGTTTGATTTTATAATGGTTCATTGCTTCATACTGTTAATACGTTTTCAGTAAACAAAATAACTATGGAACTTGGTTCAAATAACAGCGAAATAGTGAGTGAAATTCTCAAATAATTGTCAGTTGAGTTTCAAATACATCTATCTTGACTAGGCTGCTCTACAATTAAGAAGACAAAAGAGCGAGTTTATTACCATTCCGAACGATAATAATACGGTGAAAAAAGCCTGGGTACCTATTAATTTTTTCCACGTGTCAGTGATACTCAACCACTTGGTATTGGAGTTTCAAACTATCAAATCCAACTGTACACACACTTTAAGAATTCAGAATGGTAATTTAAAAAACTTCTTTAAGCCGATTCAGGTCGAGTTCTTGGAAAATAGTGGATTTCCTATCGCTTTATCTTTGGAATTTAATCGTTCCTAGATTTTCATGGGTTCAGGTGCTGGGGTTTCAATGGGCGTTTTCTACTATCAGTTTGTCTTTATAGTCAGGAGAGTTCCTCTGTGGCTTCGGTACTCAATAGGTTGTTGGGTATTTTCTCTTCTCTAAAGTATCGGGAAGGGCGTTCAAAGGTAATTCACTTTGGACCTTATCTTCAGCTGTTTGTCGAATGCGCAGTGGTAATGGGTTGTCATTTCAAAGTATACTCGTTGTGATGATGCATTTTTTGGTTCGATCATTTGTTGAATGGCCTGAATGTTTTTCGCACTTCCTCGCTGTCATCAAATTTTTTTTTTCAGACCCGGTTTTGGAATCTGTCGTTAAAATGTATCTGGATTTAAACAATTTATCCCATGTGATTAAGTAAGTTTTTATTTGTTTTGTGGTACATCTACAAACTGAATGTTTTCTGTGCTCGACGCTAAGCACACATTTCATAGAAGTTATCTCATGTGCTATTGAGTCCCCTTGACTGAAGTAGGCTTAAAGCTATGTTTTGTTGAAAATCTATGATTGAAAATCAAGTGCTTTAACCACCAAACCATCGTTCTTATTTCATAATTCCTTTATTTTGTCTCCACTCTTTTTTGAGCCTGGTTCGTGGTGGAATAAAAAAGCCATTTATTGAGTCTACTTCTGTGCACAAGCTTATTTAGGATATCACAAATATGATTGCTGAATAATAGGTTTGTGTTTAGTAACTTGTTTGCTAATGGTTTTTTTCCAGTCTGATATTAAAAACACGAAGTTCCGCGAAAGGATCTCTTTTCAAGGAATATATTATCCAATTGTACAATGGTATATATTAGTTCTGTGAGGACATATGAACAAGGAATAAACATGATGATGCAATAGAAAGATTGTAATATCGGATTACGCAACCAAACCATCCAGCTCAGAGAACAAAACTCCACCAAAATCATCCACCTGAGCTACAAATCTTCTCCACCGACACGTTAGAATATCTGATTGTATTCAATACGGACGTTGGTGAATCTTACAGTACATGTTTTTCCATTCTATTAACTAACCGGGGATGTTGAAATATAGTTTTCTCTTACTTGTTGATCCCCTTCCTTGACTTTTTATATTGATTTAGGATAATAGTGGAGTGACAGGGACCCATATTTACTGAAAGCAAACTATTTAATCGGTACTGGGTAATGTTTGGGTTTCAGTGTTTCCGATAATTTGAAAGTCCCAAATAAAATAAAGCCTAATAGCTACAGAAATTGAGTGAATTCGCTCATAACTTATACTAGTACCAAATTGTTTGCTTTCACAATTGTTGTTTAGTTCGTTCTCTCCACTGTTTTAGTGTTTGATGTTTGCAACGTAATATCACAAAAACATTTCCGGTTGTTTATCTTACATAGCGATAACTGCTACCTTAGTAGGCGAAATGTCCATCTGCCAGTCAAATGGCCTGTATAGTGCTCATCAATCCGTCCTGTATTAGTTTACGTATGTGAAACTTTAGTTTTTGAGAGCACATGACATGGGTTGGCTACAGGTTTTTGATCATAGGCGTCTTCGAAGCGTTGCTCGAGTTTTGTAGAATGACCGAGTGAGCAATGTTGAGGTTAGGCATAGTGTGGATTACTTAGCACTGGTGGCGTATCGGTTGATGAGTTTGCGAAAACTGATAATTCAAACGCCTCGAGGTATGTTGCTAGCAAACTGAACTTTTCTGGAACCTGGATTCCAAACGGGAAGCACGAGTTTAATTTATGATCCAACAGATTCCATTAAACAAGATAATTGCTAAGAAATATTATCTGGAAGCCATAATAACATGTTGAAGATGATGGAGATACTACATATATTTTGAAGACGAAGTTATAATATTTGTGGAGAATCACTATTTTTTTATGATTATCCAAATCCCTGATGATGATTTTATGTTCATTCTATTTTATGTTAAATCAAGTTACGATGGTCCAGTGCTTATTATTCGCCGCAGTGATGATGAAGTTATCAGCACTGGGTAAGTGACATTGATTTTGATTATTATTAGAAGTTTGCGGTTTCCAGTGAATGAAAAGCAAAATAAATTTGTTTTTACTGATGTTTCGCTATTAAATATTAATAGTTTTTAATAGTTAAGATCATGAGTCAGTTGAAGCTAGCTTCAATATAAGATCTTATTCTTTACTCCCCCTTCCGTCATCAGTTAGGTTTCTACTATTTTGACCATTTTTATGGTACAAATCAATTTCATCTAAAATTCTTTATTTGTATCCTTGAGCTGATCATATACCATGTTTCCTGCCAAATATTAATTGAATAATGGAATGAAGAGATCGCATCAGTTTAGCATATTCAATACCTAGAACTGTCAACTCAAAATTGTAGTATATGACATGTTTACCGAAGTGTTTCTGGTTTTTATCTACCAGTGATTGTTAGTGTAACAGGTCGCTGTCTGCTTTGATTAAACAAATTTCAAATAGATGAATTGATTCTTTAAAAATTTGAAATTCTGATCCTACCATTATTGTTCAGTGGACATACTTAACAAGCTTTTAGGTGGTGTTGAGTTAAGTAGCTTAATCATAAAGATGTAATTGTCTTTCTGCACAACATCAGCGTTGACTTCAAGAAGATGTATGTGATTGATGATTTCTTCACAGTCTGGTCGTCTGGGTAAGAAAATGTAACACCTCCAGAATTCTCTTTCTGGACTTTTAATATGTTTGCAACCATTCTTTTTTCCGATTATACGAGTTAATTGTATTTGTAAGGGTTCAAGTTTTCCTGTTGAATGATATCCAATTTTATTGTAGAATTAAATTATTGTCAATCGATTCAGTAGTTATTAATAACTTCTAGTACGTATTTGTTTGTCAATACAAATGTTGAAATAAATATCTGGTAGAATAAAAAAGGAAGTACACTATTTTTAACTATTGAAGCACACTAACTGCTATGATACTTATAGACTAGTTTGAATCCTATATATAGTAAATATTTTAGGAAGTGTTTTAACTGACAATTTTTCAATGTCTCTACATGTTTTGTTCTCTCGTTATAACAGGGACGATCATTCACGTGCAACTAACAGAGGCAATCACTTACTGATTGGTTTATTGAAGCATCGGTATGTTAAAGCATATAATTCTTGTAGTATTAAATAAAAATACGATTTTTTAGTTCGATTGAATGGGTACATGATCAATGGCTTCCAAATAACTTTTCTTGACATAAGAAAATGACGAAGTCATTTCTGATCAAATTTTAATTGATCGTCATAGTAAGACTAAATACTGGTTTGCAGTAAGTTTTGTTTATCAGCTGTTATTCGAGCTCTGTATGTTTCAATATCTGACTAAACATTTCTACTGTCCATAAACTTAAATAGAAACATGAAAAATGAGAAAAGGTGTGTATTTCTTCTGCTAGTTAGGAATTATTGTCGCTAAATATTTTCCTCGTTACTGATTAAATTACGAAAAAGTAACAAATTTGTGTGATTCAGTATATTTCTCATTTAATAATTACTTAGAATCGAAAGCAATATTTCTTTGTTATTGAACTTACACCATGTATTTTAAATTTTACTTAATAATCGTAGAAGATAATATCAATGTTATTTGTGAAATCAGTAAGTGATATCAATTTGTCGGAAAGATAAGTAGATGGGTATGGTTATGTAAAATAACTTAATGGCTGAATTATCCTAAGTTCCACATTGAATCTTTCAAGAAGTAACTACACTGAAAATAATGACGATTTTATAAATTATGTCCTAATCACAGTTATTTGCGAGGTATTACTTAGTCATTTACAGACCCTTACAATAAAATAGTAATTCAGTTATTGTAAACTATCAAGCAGACGATTTCTGCTTCAGATCGTTTTAACTTATTCTGCCTCATCCAATTTTTCATATATTCATTATCAAAAAAACACAAAAGTTATGAACGAGTTGATGAAAAATGATAGAGTAGTCCCATTAAGACTTGTTAAATGTTCCATAATAGTTTTCTTAAATAAACAATAATACCTCTCAAAAATTTGATAGTTATTATATAATAATGATTACTTCACTATAGAAGAACAGAACAAACATATGATATTGTACTAAGAAAAAGATTAATCAGCATCTGAACTGGCTAATGAAAGAGAAATCATATATGAAAACAGCGCATTTAAATAAATATAAACATTATTCTTATTAAGGAAACTGATACTGACTTAGCTGTTGAGAGCTTGAATATTCATCGTGGAAATATATAAGGAATTGTACTTGGAAAGGGAATGCTCAGCGTGATAAGATTTTGAAATTAAAATGAGCTGTAATCAGGAGAATCATAGAAACAAAAACAAATCAATTTGCAGGTAAAAGGTCAATAGTGAAGATAGAACTGAATTCTTTTGCATAAAGCAAGCGTCGAACGACCTATATACCTCACTCTACTTGAAAAGGTAAATTGTTAAATGTACATGGAATTGGTCAAATAAGAGTTTTGTTAAATTGTTACTGAATATTGGTCAGCTTGATGACAATAATAGCAAGGTTAAGCGAAGAACGTTCTATTGAGAGAGTCGGAAATTCTGCTTTTCATGATGCTTGCTGTTAAATCACCTTTGAAATTAACGTTCATATAAAGAATTTTCCTTGATGTAGAGACTATTTGTACTTAAGGAGGTTTGAGTTTTATTTTCTCATCAATTACCGATGGATACCTGTTTTTGATAAGTATCTTCGGGAGGTTCATTTCGTTCTCTGTAAGATTGGAACAATAAATTCTTAGTATTTGTGTATCGAGCGGTATAATTAAATTACGCATCCAACTAATGAGGACTCAGCTGTGATGTGGGGCTTTTTTTCCGAATGTCCTACTAGAAGAGGCCATTGATACTAAATACGGTCACGGTGACGGTGTTGATTTTCCGATAAGAAACCAAAAGTATTACTGCTGTTATGCATAAAAATATGGGTATTTCCAACTATCATGGACAAACTGATGGTTCATGTATTTCTTAGGCTGGACTAATTTTATACAAGTATATATATATATATATATATATATATATATATATATATATATATATATATATAGAGAGAGAGAGAGAGAGAGAGAGAGAGAGAGAGAGAGAGAGAATTACTTGGCCAAATGAATGTTTTCTTTTCGTTGTTATTTTCTATGGTGCTTCTTGAAAAATAACCGTGGGAAGAGACTTTTATAAATTATATAATTACTAATTATTATCAGTCGTTACCTTACAGTGGTAATTTATGCCATTTCATGGAAATATATATGGGGTGTTTTGTTTGTTATAGATTTCCGTATCTGATGACCGTAGAAAATGAATCCATCCTCAATGCATATTTATCACTTAGCGCTGAAGAACAAAGTAAGCCATGTCCATATGAATATTTTCGTTATTTGATTCCACTTTTTAATAATATTTAATGTACCAAGACTGTTGCCTGATATTGACTAGACCAAGCGAATTGTAAATTAGCTGGTGTCTTGTCATACTACGAAATCAAACTAACGTTATCAAATCAACCTTGAACTCTCAAGTAGGAGGTGTACATATATGTATGTAAATTGTATATAATAACTAGTCTGTGTGACCTGTAAAATGTTTCTCTTTCATTCCGCTCTGGTGTCATTCGCAATTTTGTGTTCCCAATTATTAACCAGTAGAACAAGCGTGTCATTGGTCACGTAGAGATATTTTTCACCAGATTGTACTTTTTTTAACGAAACCGTTAACCTATTTCTCACTTTTATACTTACCCTATCCATGCTTTCTCTCTCTCTCTCTCCTTGTGCAATAATTAATCTTCTGTGATAATCGCGTATATTGTTTTCTTATGGTTCCTACACGTTGGAATTCAGTTTACAAAAAGTTATGATATTCATATTTTATCTTGTTCTTTTTCTATAAAAAAAATTATACAAAAACTATGTATTGCACATTTTTGTAAGTTGTTAGTTGATAGACATTTTGGCATTAATATTCATTGTACCATATAAAGTAAATAAATAGTGACAAGTATGGAGTCTAAATTGATTTTTCATTCTAGCGATATTTATCATTGAAAGAAGTTCCAAAAGAGCCTATCAATTGTACATAAGGTTATTTCACTTGTGGTCATGGTTAAATTTAGGAAGATTCTTGACGATATTTTTTCTCCGTTTTCATCTTATATTGACGTGAATGTGCTCCAGAAGATAAAATAATTTTCCGTCCGATCTGCCATTATAATTCTTTTTTAAATATAGAAATTACTTATTGTTAAGTGTATTTTTTTTCACTAACCAGGTTTAATTAATTGTTATTAACGTATTGTCATAACCATTATTTCCTATAATCTATGATTGTTTTGTTTACTTATATACATATTTCTCATTAGGAAATACATTTAATGAACTTGATTATAATCCAGAGGAATATGGGAAACTAGTCGTAAATTTTTTAAAGGCTGAAGCACTTGAAAAACAAATCGAATCAATGCCTTTATACCCGTCAAAACTTGGTAAAGAAATTAGTGAAACTGATGTTCAGAGAAATATGCTTTTTTATATAGTAAGTATGATCGTTATATTATGGTTGGTAATTTAATGCATTATATTTATCAAGTACAAGTCAATACATCCGACTTTGAGTTATGTTTACTTTTTAATAGCTAATGGTGATGCCCAAGTAAATGGATACTTTATTATTATTTAAACACGGTAATATTGGTATAATGATGCACGAATATGTATGTGCCACACTTCATCATTCGATTTTTGTGTTAAGACCTTCCTGAAGTATTTTGGTCCCTTCAGAATTGATCTTGTGTCCTGTTTCCAATGCATGTAACGCTATCGTCGACCTATTCTCAAGTTTCTTTAGATCAACCAAGGATTCGGGAACATTTTTCGAACGTTGTTTGTGTTCCTTCAACCTCACATTCGATTGCTTTGAAGCTTCGCTCACATACGCAGCATTACAATCACGACAATTGATATCATAGACAATATTCTGTTGTTCTTCCTCTGGAAATCTTACACTTTTTTTCCTTCATATAAAAACAAATTAACACCGAATATCAACTCTTAATAATTCAATTTTACACATACATACATACACACAATTGTTTCAGTCATTTATATTCACATCGTGAACTTTTCACATGGTTCACATTTAACTGACTCATGTTCTCCTATTTACTAAAGTCAACATCTAAATATGATTGGATTAGCACAGTATAGATTTGATTTGATTGTAAGACTCTATCTATTTCTTTGATGGTCTTGGTTTCGATTACTATCCTGAGGAAGTTCAGACAAGTTTGCTGGACGAAACGTTGGAATTATTTGAGTTTCAATCTCTGAGATTATTTCGAATGAAATTCTCACATATAATGACTAGAAGCACATGATTTTCATAGGAGGCCACTCCTGAGCTTTTAGCCTACATGTCTAGTCCACAAGTTAGTGGAGCAACGTTAGGAGATGCAGTCCCATGGTAGACAGTGACCAACAGTATGTTTATACACCATTTATTCCCTCAGGATCCTGGAGCCCATGTTCACCATTAGTTTGGAATCAGGGTTTCCCAATTCGTTTAGATGAATCCTCCGTGTCCACCAACCGGTTTCAAGAGTCGGACATTCGCTTTTCGTGTTGTTAATTTCGTAAAGAACACCGGCGCCACGTGAAGGCAGTGAGTAGGACTTCGGTGGCAGTAGCTGTATACATGTGTCCATTTGAGAGCATTTCGAGAGGGAAAGCTGACTCTCCACACCCTCGATCATACCATAGCATTTGAGGGCAAATGTATACAATTTCTGAACATATCAGTTAATGTTGGATGTCTTCATTACATAGCTTTTAGTGTTTTCATTTATTTTGTCTGTAGTTGTTTGTACTATTTTTGGGAATCGATAAATATCTAAAAAACAAGTTAATTAAATTTTTATACTATTTCCTTTAGAACTCATATTTTAAATATCAAGTCAAATGGTTTATTTTCAGTCTGGTTGCAAAGTCTTTCTCTTTTATAATGTAATGATAAGTTTCACATATTGTGTATAGTTTGAAGTTGAATTCGACTGCTAAACTTTTTTAAATGTTCTTAGATTTCATCATTCTGATCATATTTATTTACTCATCATTTGTATATTGTGCATGTAAAGAAGACTTGAATTCACTTGGTCAGACATCTGATTATTTATAATGACAATCGTTTGTTGTTTAAAGTGTAATTTCACAAGCACAGTCTATCAAACAAGAATGACTTTTTTTTTAAAGGAAATCTGCTTTGAATGAATTCATTCTGGAAGTTATTAAATGAAAAGTATGATGATAATTACATTTATAGATAAAGTCAAGTTATTTAATGTCCATGGTTTTGACGTAAAAGGTGTAAATACCCGTTTAAATCCATTTGGATATATTTTTAAAAAGATGACTAAATTAATTATTCATGCAAGCGGAAATCATTTATTAAGCTGCTTATCAAAAAATACATACCATTTTTAAAGATTTACTCAATCAGTTTTGTTTATTATTCGGATAAAAAGATTTTTGTTTGTTATTTCTTTCCTAGGTATCCAAATATTTTATTGAATCTCCCGGTTCACATTGTACTCCTTTGGCAGGTAAATATCTACAACCACCATGGTCACCGCTAACTCATTCGTTCATTGAATCTTCAGAAACTGATTTAGACTGTAAGATTGTTGACTAGTAATACGCATCCAGTACAAGCTTTCTCAAAAAGTGATATTTAATAATATAACATTTTTTCTGATTATATATATACATATATATGTTACCGTCACATTTTGTTTTGTTTTGTTCCCTAAAGTTAGTTCACTTTTTCTTCCTGTAATAACACACAGTTGTATTCAGAATTATTCTTTGTTAATTTGTTTTGTTGCTTGTTTACTTTTAAGTATTTTTTCCTGTGTATATCATAAGGTTATATGCTATTTTTAAAATTATTACTAACTGTAAAGACAGAGAGAGAAAACATGATATGTAATATATGCATTAATGTTTCTTTCGTGGTGAATGTTTACAATTATGCGTTTTACTTGTTAGATTACGGTAGTTATATATGAATAGTTTATAGATTAGGCTAAGTTATTATTTATGCTCTGAAATTGTTGTACAACTAGTCGCATACGGTCTGTTTAAGTACTCTAAATCTCTTCTCAATTTATTTTACATCAGTCGAAATGCAGTTCGTTTCAGGTAGCTATGATAAAGAGTAGAAAACTTGTTCTAGGTATATAAATTGTTAAACGACGACTATTTGATCTAACACCTTGTCATCTACTTGAAATCCGTGCACTGTTTATTTCGTAACTCCAAGTTATAGGTAATGACCTAAGGACTGATATTCAAATATGATCAGTTTTGTATTTTCAACCTGTAATGTCCCATGTCACTTGACCATATTGAGAAAAGCAGATTTAAATATAGATCACACATGTAACTCCGTTTAGAAAAAAATACGTTAACGACCTTAATGGGTTGATGTTACGATCTTTATGTTGCATTTTTCGAGCCTTATCGATTCTTGGATCCAGATTTCCTACTACATCAAATGATTTGTCCTGCGTTTTGCTAATTTATCTAAGACTTAATTGTGTCTGGTGAACATAATGTATGTCAAGCATGATAATTCCAACCTTCCGTTGTTAGAACTCTTATTTATTTGTGACATAAAGTTGATTGGTACTGCAATGCACCATACGGAATGAAACAATGACTACATTCTGAAGAAATACAAGAGAAAAGTATTCCAAATAAAAAATATTAACACGTCAAGATGGTTTTAACTGTTAAGAAACAAAATGACTTTTAGTCCTTAATACCCACATATGATTAATAGGCTAATAGAGACATGTTTATGTCAAACTCATACAAATTTTATCACTCAACTAGACAAATTATTTGTCTAAAAACATTTCATGGTCTAAAAATACAAGTTATATCAGTTTTACATATTTCTGGTAGTTGAAATCCTTCTAGATCATATATTCTCGGTCCGTCAGTAACAAAATTGAAAAACAGCTGTTGAGTCCAGCCAACATTACCTTCGTACCAAAAGCAAACTGGTACACGACTAAAACAATAAAGAAAGCGAATATTTTAATAAAATTAAATTATCATATCTCGTATCCTTGTAGAGAATTAATAGATGGATAGGATTATTATGATAATCAAGATGGTATTGCTGATTAGTAAGGATCTTTAGTTACAGGGAAATGCTTATGGTGTTGGTGGATACAACAATGTAGGAATATGCTTATAGCATGTCAAAATGTATCAAAGTCAAGTCATTGACTAACTGCTAACGTAGGTAAAGCATCATATATGGGCATCGTGTCAGATGAGATGTTAAACCTGTAGGAAAGAGCAGTTTTATATTTCAAATTGTGCTACATCTGATTTGATCTTCAAATTAACAAATAATTTCGCATAAGAATTTTACTAAATAATAATGTTTAATTAGTTGACAACTATTTTCAAATTATTACACATAATCATAAAGATACTTTCAAAAGTATCTTTCGAAATGCTCCCGAAAACTTGACGAGTAATTAATTATTACTTGCTTACGCCTGTTATCCCTCGTGGTGGAGCATAGGCCGTCCACCAGTATTCTCTATCGAAATCTGTCCTGGACAAACCTTTCGAGTTGTTCCCAGTTTCTGTTCATCATTTTCATGTCTGTTTCCAATTCCCGACGCAGTGTGTATTTTGGTCTACCTGTTTTTCGTTTCCCTTCAGGATTCCGATTTAGCACCTGCCTCGTGATGCAGTTTTATAATTTCCCTAACGTGTGTTCTATCCACTTCCAACATCTTTTCCTAATTTCCTCTTCAGTTGGGAGTTGGTTTGCTCTCTTTCACAGTAGGCTATTGTTGATGGAATCCCGCCAACGGATATTGATTATCTTGCGTAGACAACCGTTTATAAATGCTTGTACCTTTTTGATGATGGTTGTAGTAGTTCTCCAAGTTTCAGCTCCTCACAGTAGAACTGTCTTGACGTTCTTATTGATGATTCGGTCTTTGATATTAGTTGACAGTTGTTTTTAGTTCCATATGTTCTTCAACTGTAGGAATGCTGCTCATGCTTTGCCGATCCTCGCCTTTACGTCTGCATCAGATCTTCCACGTCCATCGATGATGCTGCTCAGGTACGTGAAAGTTGCCACCTCTTCTAGAGTTTCTCCATCAAGTATGATTAGGTTGGTATTCTCTGTGTTGTATTTGAGGATCTTACTTTTTATCTTGTGTGTTTTGAGGCCTATTGATGTAGAGGATGCTGCTACACTGGTTGTCTTGACCGGAATATGTCCTTGCGTTTGGGATAGAAAGACTAGGTCATCTGTGAAGTTCAAATCGTCTAGTTGCATACAATCTGTCCATTGTGTTCCGTGCTTCCCGTGAGCTGTGGGGGTTTTCATAATCCTGTCAAACGCTAGAATAAAGAGAAAGGGTGAAAGATAGTAAGCAGCCTTGCCTGACTCCGGTCCCTACTTGAAATGCGTTTGTCAGCTGTCCTCCATGCACGACTTTGCAGTGTAGTCTGTCGTATTAATCTCTAATAGTGTTGACGATTTTATCAGGTCGAAGTTTCTATAATGTTCTCCTATCCATACTGTCAAACGCTTTCTAATGATCAAGGACGTTGATGTATAATGATGAGTTTTATTCGATTGAATGTTCAACTATTTATTATCCGTAGCGTTGCGATTTGGTCTGTGCATGACCGGTCCTTACATAATCCAGTCTGTCGATCTTGAAGTTGGGCGTCTACTGAGTCTTTCATTCTGTTCAGCAACACTGTTGAAAACCTTTTCTGGTACTGACAGTAATGTGATTCTTCTGTAGTTCTCACATTTGCTCAGATCTTTTTCTGGTATCTTGATGATGTGCCCTTTCCATTCCGTCACCACTCGTTTTTCCTCCCAAACTATTCTGAAGAGAATGTGTAGCATGTTTACACTCACTTCCATGTCTGATTTGAGTGCTTCAACTGGTATATTGTCAGGTCCTACTGCTTTTCCGCTCTCGATTTGTCTGATGGCCATCGTGATTTCTTCGACCGTTATTGGAGCGACATTTATAGGAAGGTATGTGTGTGCTGCTTCGATGTGCGGTGTGTTCAGTGGAGCTGTTTTGTTCAAGAGTTCCTTGAAGTATTCTACCTATCTGTTCCCCTGTTCTTTAATCTAGGTGATTGTCTTGCCTTCTTAGTCCTTGACCGATCTCTCTGGTTTACTATATTTCCCTATCAATTTCTTCATAGCGTCATATAGTTGTTTCATATTTCCTCCCGTTGCAGTTCTTTCCGCTGTCGTTGCTAGGTTTTCCACATATTTCTGCGTTTAAGCTCTAATGCTCTTCTTCACTTCCTTGTTTGTTTCTTTATATTCAGCTTGTGGCTTGACTTTCTCTCTTCTTGTTCGGCTGTTGTTAATTGCTGTCTTTTTGACCTTTCTTTCTTGAATTTTGTGTAGGGTTTCGATAGAGATCCATTCCTTATGATGATGCTTCTTGCAGCCTAGAACCTCCGGACACATCAGAGTTAGTGCTTCGTTGATCCCTTCTCAGTTGTATTTCATAGTAGTTTCTTCTTTCAGTAGATCCTGTAAGGCTTGCAACCTTTTGTTGAGAGCTCTCTTGAATTCGTTGAGTTTGTCAGTAGTTCGAAGCAGGGCTGTATTGAACCTTTGTAATAATGTTTCTTCATTTGTTTATTGCTTTTTTTAGCTGCAGTTTCATCTTGGCAAACATCATCTTGGGGTGATCTAAAGCCAGTTCAGCTCATTTACTGGTTCTCACTTCTTCCATTGTTCTGGATTTTTTACTGATGCAAATATGGTCGATCTGATTCTCTCTAGTGTGGTCCGGTGAGACTCATGTAGCTTTATGTATGCGTTTGTGGGGGGATATTGTCCCACACATAACCACTTTGTTGAATGCACATGAATATGGAAATCTCTCACCACTCTCGGTCCTTTCTCCCAGTCAGTTCATGCTGTCGCATGATATTTTCATAACTGTTGTTGTCCATTACGACTTTGGCGTTTAGATCTCCCATCACGATGGTTAGGTCCTTACCTGGGTACTTCTCTATGATCGATTGCAGCCTCTCGTAAAACTGGTCTTTATCGTCTTCATTTCTATCATTGGTGAGTGCATCATATCAGTTAACATTCATTGTGATCCCTCCTTTTTTGTTTTGAAGGATGCTTTGATGATCCTGGATCCATGAAATTCCCATCCTGTAAGTGTTTTTGGTGGTTCTTTGGGCAGCATCAGAGCAACTTTCTAAGTGTGTGGAGCATTTTCTTCGTGAATGGAGTTCAGTAGCATCTCTCCCGTACCTAGCCTTTGCTGTCCTCCGCCCGTAGCTTTTCTAGATTTACTGCCAATCATAAGCCCAGGTTAAGGAGGAGAGTTGGGCGTGCAGTTGGCAACCCCATCTCGTAGAAAACAATCCTGTTAAAAAAACGCCACCCAGATTAAACAAATTAAACCATTTAAACTATTCCCTGAGAGTTGAAGGAAGAATTATGACATCTCATGTTGAAAGCTGAGATTCTTAGGAAGTCATGAGGCAGATTTCCCTTCTAATAACGAGATCAATTTTTATAGGTACGTGGAACGTCTGGACAATGTGGGAGACCAGGATGACTAGTCAAATAGCGATGGAAATGAGGAGATACAACTTCACAGTATTCGGAATCAGCGAAACCAGTTGGAATTAATTATATATGAGTGTAAATCATTTTTTATGTTAGTCACACAAATTACTTGATATTTAAATGGAATAAGTATGAAATTTAAAACAATTAGTCTCTTTGATAAATTTTGATAATGCGATGATGACCTTCGTCTTCTCTGTGCATTATCGGAATGGATGGAGCCAATTTTAACAGTGCAATAATAATTTCAGTATTATGTGGAAATAATCAAAACTAAAACAAAACCTCGTTCGAATCTTACTTAAAGCAAAGAATATCGAGATTTAACAATAATTAGTAACTACATTATATGAATGATGGATTGTTAAATAGAAGTTCGAACTACAATTAGCATACTCGTTTTGTAGGAAATCTATGCTAATCAGTGGTATAATGTGGTTATTATAATACGAGTATTATGACTATAAAATCCTATATGTTGGAAAAGGGTTCTTTACGAAAAAGATATTTTCGTATACACATCTGAAACATCATGTGATTAGGATATCTTGGTTCCCATGTCAGTTGGTTTACCAATTATCGTTCCGTGATTATTAATATTTTTAGAATTTAGACGCAATTCTGTTTTCGTATCTAAGTCCTTTACCAACGTGCATGGTTGATTGGGTTCTATAGTAAGACGTCAGTCGAGATTGTACTGTCAACGCTGAGTGTTCATAAAGATTGTTCAACTTGAGGTTTACGTTAAGTTCTGACTGTGGCTAGACAAACTTTGATAACCAGGAACCAGTGAATACCCGCTTATCCGTAGTACATGGTTTATCAGTTAGCACCCACAATCTCATCAGTGAGCAAACATGGGACATTCAGACTGAGCAGAGAGCTGATAAATTTCAAATCGCTGAGTTGACATCCACCCATTTAGATTTTCAACTTCAGCTCATGAGCCATCTAAATGAAGAATTTTTAGAAAACTTTCATTTTATAATAATCACACACTTATTTAGAATAAACTTAGGTGAGAATTCCCAATGTGATCCAATACTAGTTCCTCATGTTTAAGGATCGTCTAGTTGAATTCCATATGTGATGTAAGTTACCTTATGATTTTCTTTCTGACATTTAAATGCTTTATAATTAAAATACATTATTCAGTTTAAAATAAAATCATTTTATTGGTAAATGTGATTGAGAAGTAATTTCTGTTCAATATTATTATAACCTGTTAAATGATCATTTTCTGAAGAGGATATTGTCATTTTACTTTTATAAGAATTGGAACTGTAACCCCTAAGGATTTTTTAAAATATTAACATTATCTGTTTAAATTCCATAATACAACAGATGAATATAATGAAAATGAACTTGTTAATGAACCATTTATGATCATTTATAATATCTTTTTAAATGGAGAATCCATTTCATAATTTGAGCGCTATATGATATTTATTAACGAATTGTCAAGTGAAATATCATGGATTTTTTAAAGTACAGAAACTAGAGGAATCATGTCTACAAATCAAAGACTATTTCAAACCAAGCATAAATATGTGTAAAACTCGTTAGCAATCATTCGAAACTGAAAGTCACTATCAATAACTTGATGTGTAAAATCTAACTTCACAAAATTACTTTGTGTCCAAATAGGTTAGCGATAAGTGACATGAATGTAAACTTAGAACTGGCATAAGATTTGATTTGAGTGAATATAAACCTTGTTTACGTTAACAAATCATTATTTAATATTCAATAACATCTCGATTCCTTTTTATAAATCTTCAACGTCTTATGAAAGAAAAGGTAGCAGAAAGATTAAAACTCATACTAAGCAGAAAGAATATATGTAAACGGAACGGCACAACAACTATTTACCATTTAATTTAAGGTCATCATTAGTTGGGAATGACGCTTTATATGATAGCTATTAAGTATTACCGCTTACACTACTCTATCGCTTAATTTTTAAACTCTATGCTACAACATTGAAAATGCTATTCACTTTCAATATCTGATAACCTTAATATTAACAAACGTTCATGATATGATTATTCATTAAAATATCTTATGTACAACAGAAAATTTTTTGACATACTTTTTTGATTTTTCAACAGTCCATCCATAACCACCGAAAACTGAATGACTAGTTAATGAAGATTTATTTCTTTGCTTCAGATAATACTTATGTTGATTTTCATTATCAGATGGTATAACCCACCATTGAATAGTTTGATTCAATAAACCCAATCCCAATTGTTCAGTTGTACCATTATAATATTTAGCAAACCGTTCCATGAAATTTCTCTTAGGTATATCAAATGATTTACGATATACACAACATGGTCCATAACCTGAATCAACTGGTGCAATTAAATAAGCTGTATGATTGAAGTTAAACAGAATACATGGAAAATAACTGGTTGGTTCAAATATTGGTACACAATAATCTTCATAATATTCAATTGCAATGTTTAAATCATTAGCATACCATGTCATACCACGTCCAACAGCATATGGTAATTGTGGCGGAATAATTTGTGGCCATGGTGGCAAAGGCATTTGATCATCATCTCTTGGTGTATAGTAAATAGAAAATTCAGTGTAAAAACGTTCCGGTAAAATAGGCGGTGATGGTGAATTCACTTCAACTATCGAAGAAGTTTTTAAGTTATGATGAAGCTGTAATAAATTAGAAATCGAGAATATTGACTTTATACGTAATGGTTAAATAAATTATCAAAAGAACATTTATTAAGGTATAATGAAGAGAACTAATCATTCAAAATTCTTTTACTAGTAATACTACGTCTACTGACTTAGATATAAATCGAACAATTTTTAGTGATACAAATGACATAAACTGCATTATTGAATAAATTGGTTTAAATAGTATATGTCATCGTTAAGTTAACATTTATAAATAAGTTGGAATCGGAAATTTGTTGTTGGGATATTCAGAAAAATATACCAAAAATTATCTTGTTAAGTCTAATGCTATCCTTGAACGTGAAATGGTGTCATTTTCCTATTGGTCAATATTTATTTCACGTGTCATTTTCCTGTTGGTCAATATTGACGGTAGTCCTAACTGTATAAATATGCATTTGTCTGTAAAGTATCATTCCTATTCTTATTCTTCTCCTGACCCCATAAACAATTTCATCTACTGTTCGTGTTCTGATATATTGGAGATTGGGGAACAGTATTGGGGTCGTACTAGGATATCTAAAGTTGGTCAGTCGGTAGAAATTAGAGTAGCCACCCCACGGTCCACAATATTTGTCTTTTGTTTTTGAAGCTACATGTTAACTTGTTCACGAGAACCATCATTTTTCATTCTATAGCAAACATGTTCACGTAGTTTTAAGTTGTGTATTTTCAAATAAACAAGGAGATATCAATGAACATTTCTCACACTTAATATCTCCAGATGTAAAATGTCTTTTCCAATGAAAATAAAGGTAAGATCGTTGATTTGTATTGTTTTTAAGTTGTTCAATAAATATCAGTAATCTGTGGATAAACTATTTTTTTCAATAATAGACTCACCTACTAGTAGTATTTGAAGGATATCTTAACTTGCCGTCGGTGGACGTTGCAAAAATATCGATATCTTTTATTACTTGACATGCTTTTCTTTGTTGCATGACTGTCGTTGAACGAGTTAAAAAAGCGTACCAAGGGAATTCAAAAGAGTAGAGTACTCCCATTCGGTGCATCAAAATAGAGATTTTTGGAAGTGACTAATAATTTCAGTAAGGAAATAGTAATCATCCACTAAAGTAAGTCGTTTGTACTCTATTGATATATTTTCTTGGAAAACAGGCAAAGTTCGAGTGATTGTTTTTCCTATATACCAAGGCTAAAAACGAATATTTAACTGTCAGTCATTGTGTTCGGTAACATATTCATGAATACAACCCTCTTTTAATACATATCCTTTGATTAACCAGCCATCAAATATAGTTCCCGATACCGCTTCATTTGTTATTATCTGTTCTGGTTGTGCATAATTTCACTAGCATCTAACTTCAAAAGACTTTTTCGGTGTATGATGGAGCTTCAAAATTAGTCCTTTTAGTTTCAGGATGTAGCCTGCTGATGTTCATTTGTAAGGGAAACTATTTATTGTTTATCTGAAATTCTCAATTTTTGTTAGCACCTATTTCCATAAATTTAAATATTAAGGTAACATTTTGAAATTATTCATTTAAGATTAGAACTGCTGGCTAAAAATAAAATTTTAAATATGCCACGAAAACTTTGTATGCGTTAAACTTTTGGTTCAGACATTTATATAATAATAAATAGCTTCAAAATCATTCAACATAAAACCTTCAACTAGACAAAATTGACCTATTTAAAGTATTAAGATTGTGTAAATCAATATATTCGTTGTTTTTATTGTACTATTTGTTAATGGTAATCTATCAATTAGAGGTCTAGAAACATGCTATCCATTATTGACTCCTGTACTTCTCATTAGTTTGTCTTTGTTCATATTATACGGAGTATCTATGTTGAGATTTGGGGCTTCGAACGTTGCCTGCAAACTTCTATGAAGCATGAGGCTGGGTTAGTCGCTTTAATGTGTACAAGGATATTTCGAATAGGTATTACAGAATGAGCATACCATTTTTTTGCTTATCAGAATTATTGAATCTGATTTTAATTAATTACGGAAACAAGTTTTGTGAGAAAAAGTGTATGTAAAGGATAATTGTATTTCGCTTAGCTAATTTCCATATAAAGTTGACATGAAATTATTTCAAGTCTAAATGAGTATTGCATTATTACATAACATTTTCATTTGTACCATCTGACACTATTAACAACTTGATATATGAACACGATTGAAGATGGATGATGTAACAGATATTCCTTTTCATAAGTACTCAGTTTTAATTATGATTAGACAATCAAATTAACAATGTTGACATATGTTTTTCGTGGATGATCAAACTTTCCAAGTCATTTTATGGTTTATATTTTTATTTTACCCTAATTAAACTATTAACATAAATAAATAACTATAAAAGCTGGTTTTATTCAACAATAGACAACAAAATAATCCTATTATTCTTACCAGAAATGATGCATCTAATGATTGTATATGAAAAGAAACCCAAATCCAACAGTTTACTAAAATCCCAATGATAGTCAACATCATTTTTCCATAAATGAAAAATATTTGGATAAGAGATTCTTCTGAGTTACATTTGACAATTTGTCATCCAACCTATTTACTTATATATATGTATACATGAAAATGCATACAGTTTATCATAAGCATAGGGGTATAATCAAATTGAATGTTGTATTCCATGAAACTATTATTATATATAAACTGCGAATGAAATGTATTTATTTTAAATGATCAATACATGCACCAGCTTCATTTGTAATAACCTATCATAAACATTTATAAATGACATAAGGTTAAATGTTTATCTAAATAAGAAAATGTTTTTCAAATCATCTATTAAACATTATAAACAAATGAATATAATTATGAATAATATCTATGAGTTTAGACTATAACTACTATAAATGTCTCCATTGAATATTAAAAAAGTGTAATTTATTTATTTATTTAAATGGTCAATACATCAGCCAAAATTTATTTATAACATTCTATCATAAACTTTTATATTTGAAAAGAAGTTATTTTTCTAAACTATCTAATCCATTAAATAAATATACAAAGCAATTTATTATCACTATGCATTTAAACTATATTTACCAAGAATGTTATGTTGTATAAATGCATGAAGAATAGTTGTTAGGTAATTTATATATATATATATATATATATATATATATATATATATATATATATATATATAACTTACGCCTGTTACTCCTAATGGAGCATATATAGAATAGGTTTTTGACCAGTATAATAAGTGACAAATGAAACAAACATTTATTATAAATCACTATAGTTTTTAAGGAATTGGTTTTTAGAATTTTATATTTTTAGTTTTTAATGTTATTTCTTATATAACACTGTAGGGATAGTAGCATGATTTTTATTAAATAGACACTTGTGTTCACTATTTATATTATACACGAAAAGCCTTAATCTAAAAATAAAATGAAATATAACTTTGACATTTTTAAGTGTATGGTTTTGATAATGAGCGGAAATATCGCGGTGATTTGGAAATGTAATGAAATAACAATATCAGGATAACCTCCACAAAAGTTTAACATCATAGTGGAAATTTTGAGAGGAATATGTTAATGCTACTGTGTTCTTTGCAAGAATAGACAGTTCCGTGGTGTGGATTTTTGAAGAATTCAGAACAAATACAAAACAAAGGTTCAGTACTTCCTGCTATTTCAAACACCTTTTGGACATGATGTAACACGTTAATATATTAAAATTTTACAAGCGCCTCAAACGGATTTGGGTATGAAAAATGTGATAAGCGGAAAGACTGTACCAAAGCGATGTTTTGAAATAGCACTACTAAAACCCTTTGATCTGTTTAACATTTTGGGATAATTTTAGAATCGAATATAAGCCTTACTTTCTATTCTATCAGTGTGACTGGTTTGGTAAATACAAGTAAAATGGTATACTTAGTCGGTAGAAACATGAAAGAGGGATCTATAAGTCTTCGAGTGGGGTACATAACGTTTTGTTCAGAGCAACCTGTTCCGATAAAAGATACATTCCCGTTAATGTAGACGTTGGTCTTCCGCCACATGACCCTGAAACTACGCCACCTCCAGATTAAGGTTGAATAGAAATACGCTATTTGTTTACTTCAGACTTTTATCTTAACTTTTTCAGTATTTCTCAGTAGGTTACTGCAGAAACTTGTTGTTCCTAAGTAATTTTTTTTAGCTTGTATTAGTTTTGCTTTTGGAATTATATGGTCTCTTCTGAACTGTAAAATATTATGACCAGCGCCTTCTAATAATTAATCTTTTTATTCTGATTATTCCATTTCCAATCCATAGATTTACTTTTAATGGATAATTAATTACGATTGACTAGTGACCAGTTAGTTCACTACATAATCTGCTAATTTTTTTCAGCCCTACTATCTTGGTCAGTCAGTTAGCTACAACGTAGGGCAAGGGACATATATACACCGGTCTAAGTTACCACACCCGATTAACACAATGAAATCAACACCAAATTTATAGACCTATTCACTTCAGTGGTAGCAATGTATAAAAGAAAGATTGTGTATAAGGATGTAATACAGGAAGAAATAATTAGTTCGTGGAAATAAAGGTATAAAACAATTTTAATCTCACCGTTTAAGCACAGACAAAGGGTGTATACACCGACGCCATTGTGATCGATTCTCAACCATGTCACCAAGAGTCTCCAACCATTGGTTACGATAGTCACGCGAACCCCAACTAAGTAGTCTGCATCTACCAACATGGCTCAGACCAGAAGTTAGTGTCTTCAAGCACTGATGCCACGTTTTCGTTTGGCCGCCCCTGATTCTCTTCCAACCATCCCCAACACTAGTCAGTACTGCACGTTCTGGTAATCGGTGTTCAGCGATACGTCAAAAAGTCCCAACCAACTCAGTCGATGAAGATTCACAACCTCATCAAGTGATTTACCATCATTCCCTAATACCCTGCGTCGAACCTCACTACTACTTACCCGGTGATCCCAGCAGACGCCAGTAATATTTCTAAGGCATCTGTGGTCAAATACTAGTAGCTTACGAGTGTCTTCTACTCTTAATGGCCATGTTTCGCTGCCGTAAATTAAAACAGAACGGACTGCCGCGCAGTATACTCGTCCTTTAATTGGTTGACGGATATCTCGCCTTCGCCATATGTGACGTAAGTTGGCAAAAGCCAAGCGAGCTTATCGAATCCATGCTGAGATTTCGTCAGACACCAACCCATTAGGGCTGATCGGACTTCCAAGTTAAGTGAAGTTGTCAACGTGTTCGACTACTTCACTCCCTATCCTTAGTTCAGGTGTTGACGCAGACCAGTCCTGAAGCAAAAACTTGCATTTACCAGGGGAGAAACACATCCCAAACATCCTGGCATTGTTGCTTAGTGCTACCAAACGACTCTGCATTTTATCAGCGTCTTCACCAAACAGGACTATATCATCTGTGTATTCTAAGTCGATAAGTGGACCTCCTGGAAGGAGATCAATGCCCGAGAATTCAGTCGATGAGAACGTTATTTCCATCAGTACGTTTATGATGAAGTTAAACAAAAATGGAGAAAGTGGACAGACTTGACGGACATCACTTGAGGTTGCAAAAACGAGTCAAGGAAGACCACCATTGTCGGACGCTGACAAGTATACCTGTGTTCTAGGATCTGATGAATGGTGAATGTGTAGTCAATGCAGCCACAACCAGGTCTGATGTCAGCCTTGTTTTCAGAACTACCTAAGTGTGACCTTAGTTGTTCCTAGAATCTACTTTTGATTTCCTCGTCACTGAGTTCGACTCTAATAGGTCTTTTTGATGTGGTTTTCGTTCGTCCAGTGAGGTACAAGCACATGCGTGATCGTATTAGAGGATGATCAGAGTCTAAAGATGTATTCCAGAACAAGCGGTAGCCTTCTGTCAAGCCCCTCCAACGATGACTGCAATATGGTTCACTTGATTCGATCGCGGGTTCCGTGTGAGCGGTCGTCATGTCGATGTCTCTCCTTATGCTTAAAATTAGTGCTCGCTAAAAATAAACGCTTGTCTGATCACAGCTACTGCCTTGACAACTAGGAGTCTTCTGTCACCCATTGTATTTGTTTGAAACACTTTCGAACTTATTGGGAGCTTCATTCTATTAAGATAAACGTACTTATTCTTAATTAGCTTCAATACATCTATGTTAATTATGATCTTAAGATGTAGTAAGTTGTAAGCAGTAGGGGAGAACCTAAGTGAATAAAATTAATTAACGTGGTCCTGTCTCAATATTTATGCTTATTTTCTTCAAGGTAATAACCGGAACTGTGTGTAAAATATAAAACAATTCATTCATGCAAGCTTGCAGTCTGACTGGTGGCATGCTAGTTTTTCTAATGAAAGAGTAAGGTTTATACTATGCAATTACAAAATATGACCGTTAATAGTAGAAGGAATGGGTGGGTTTTAAGTGTTTTTGATCATAGATGTCTTCGAACTATTTTTCGTGTATGGTAGTACAATATTGCGGCTAGTTTCAGTATTTTGATTAAAGATGACCAATTTATTGATAGTGCTGAAGAATAAAGTTTAATTATTTTAATGTTTACTTTATAAAAAAATAATGAACTAATAATTTCCTCATAGAACTTCAGGTGGTTGCAGCATATACTTTGAAATATAATAATAAGCCCTCACTGAAATATGAACTTTATTTGATGTTTAGTGGGACTTTATGATGACACACAATAACAGTAGATTTTAATGACAGTGATACTTTTTGTAACATATAACAAACTACACAATCTAATGACAACACTTTAGTCTACTTTTATAACCCTGAATAAAAACTATTGTCTAAAACAGCTTTATGACATTTCCCAAACAGTTTCCTTGTTAACTGTTGGAATTTTGCCATGTAGCACTTTTGAATAGTACATTGGTACTATGACAATAAGCAATAGTTCACTAAAGTACTATTAAATGATGAAGTATTTAGTTCATCTAGTTCATTGAAAAGAAGGACCGTCCAATTTTGAACTACCAGTGAACGCCTGGAAGAACTGGACCACCGTTTCATCCAAGTATGGGACTCCTTAGTGGTGTGCATCAACGACTCCTACGCGGGAATCAAACCCAGGTCATTCGGTCTCTTGCAAGAAGGTCCAATCCCTGGAATACTGAGCTGGGACTCAACGGTATTAATCTCTAACTTCAAACAATCGTATAATTCGTTTGACAATATGCTTCATGATTCGGAAACCTTTTTTAACCTGATAAAATATATTTCAAAAATTCTATACGAAGCATATATTGTGATACTGAGGGATGTGTTGTAACAAAGACTAAAAATTTCGAAAAAAACTCAGTAGTAATCAACGATAATGTGCCATATAAGAGAAGAGTTACCAAAAGTTATCGTTAAGTTTACCAAAAGCTATCAGTTTAATTCTGTCATAATTCTCTCTTGTTACGACCCAGCTATTCCTATTGCTCAGTATTATTGGACACCAGTTCACTCGACAAGTCCCCCAAATCAGAACACGGTTGAACAGGAAAAAGAGATTATATTCCAAATAACAAGGGTAGATGGAAGCAAGAAGCACAATAAGAAAAGCGTTAGTATATTTATAGTTTTTACATAAGATTCTCGAGTCTTCTCCAAGTATCGGCTAGCGCTGATTGGATAAGAATGAGCCAATCAGTGTGCAGCAACGCAATTGTGCATGGAACATGCTTTAATCCAATCTGTCCCGCTAACAAATTCTGACTCCACTTATCGGCTTTTGAACATGGAAATATTTCGCTGGTTAATAAACAACTAAACTGACCGATAATTCATCGACACTACTGATTTATTTGTAGGTAGGTCAAATAATTGTACAAATGAAATTTTGATTTACATTTTAATTGCTGTTAAGTTAAACATGAATGAATGTTAGGAATGGAATAGAAATTAAGAAATATCAGGGTTGTTTACTCTTTTTGAAATTCCAAAGAAATTAAAAAGATGGAGGAAATCTATTTGCAGTTAGAACAAACAAAAAAAAACAAATCACTTTATCAAAATGAGATTTTCAAAAGATATGAGATATTTACACATCATTAATTAGATAATGATTCAGAAAGCTTAGAAATATTCCTCGTTTATCTCTTCACTGTCAATAATATAGTTTCCAATTTCAACGTCATCATCATCATCTGCAGTAGCAGTTGTGTAGTTTTTATGAATTCGTTTCGAATTCGATGAATAATTAGAATCATTTAATCGTGATTGTTTGTAATTACTGGTTGACTGAGAGTAATTATTTGATGGCAATATAAATGATGTTGGACTTCTTGACTGAAATGGATCCAAGTATCTAGGCATTTTGTTGAATTGTTGATTGCCTCGTTGTTGACCAGTAGGAGGATTGATTATTCGATCGGTAGAATTATCATCGTCCCAAGCACTTAGAATTTCATTTTCATAATCCACTTCATCCATTTCATTATCATCATCATACTCAGTGTTATCAACCACTGTACCAATATGACCTTTGACATTATTAGAATTCACTGAATAATTAGCAGATGTACAATTATATTCCATCATATTGAATTCATCAGCTGCCTCTAATTCTTCAATATCAGGTATATGATCATCATCAATAAATGAATAGTTTCTGTTTAATTCCATATACCCATAATCTCGACTGATATAACCCGATTGAATATGTCTGCCACTGTGATGATGATTATGATAACGTCCAGAATATTTTGAAGAATTATGTCGTAAATTATTTTGTTTGCTAGAATATTCTGGATACTTGTCAGGAATTAATTTATTAGTAGGTTTAACTGTTTGGTTAATATTCAGAACAGATGTACTACCACCACGTTGAATAATTTTCTTGGTTTCATTAACAGCACATCTTGCTTCGTGTAGTTCAGCTAATGAAAGATGAAAAACAGTGAGGAAGAGAACTAAAGGAAATTTCAACGAAAAATCATTGAGCTCATATATCTTATTTACTAGCAATAAACAGGATAGTTTAATGTGATTCCATAGTATTTCATTTGAGACATTTTGTCTGATTGTGTACAGATGGATTAAGGTGAAAAAACAAAGATGAATTTCTGTACTATGATCACTTCAGACAAAAATAGGTCGGATTAATTGTAAACAATAAAGATGTTCTGTGATTTTCTAATTTTAAACATAACACTGGATTTATTCTTTCTATTCATCACATGACCTTAACATATTTTTGTCTGGCTACAAATATTGAGTTAAGTTTTGTGAAATTGAATTGACACACTGGCCTTCTCCGCTTCGTTGTCTGTCTCGATCAACGAGTGTTTGAAATATACGTACCCAAAATTCATTCTCTTATTTGACATATTTTATCCCGTTATTCTCTAACGCAAAATCGGTCCATAATTATATACGAAGATAGCTGGGATGAATATTTCGTTAATAGCATCATACGATCAAATTGAAGACAAATCAATAGGTCAAAAAAGTAGTATCATTAGTAATAGGAAGCATCAGATACAAGAGAAAGAAAAAAAGGTACGAGATTTTGGGACTCAGGTTATTAGGATAAGGTAAAGAGTGAATGCATCTACACAATTCTAAGCGACGCCATACAAGATCTCTAACCCTTGGTTACGATAATTGTGCAGACCGAGTCCAAGAAGTCTATAACTATTGATATGGCTCAATTCAGTTGTTAACGACTTTGGGGACCGAATGATGACAAGTTAAACAATAGCTATATAGAACAATCGATACCCTGTAAATTTTCGATCAACAATAAATACACATAACAACTAATTCAAACAGGACTAATACCAATCTACTATAATAAAAATTATAAAAATGAGGTAAACTGTACTGACAGTCTGAGTTTTAAGTAGATTCAGTTGGAGCTATGATAAAAGTGAAAAGTAATTTTGAGGTTTTGTAATGAATGATCTTAATAACAAACAAATCTATGTTCCTGAAGTTTAGGTTACATAACTGAAAAATAAAGAGTGAGGGTAATGACACTAAGTATTTTTTAGATCCAGAAAGCATGTGATATGATAAGAAAAAAAAAACAAAATTCTAAATCAGGTAATTAAACAAAATTGTTGATTACTGTCGCTGCTGATATAAAGTCAACTACTGAATATACATGAGTTTATTTGATTGTAATTTTTTAACACACAAAGCTAAGAATGATATGAACATCGAAAATATAAATTTCGAGCGAGGAATTGAGAGAACGATCAACATATAATACTTTGTTCCATCATGCAGTTTTTTTTCCAGAAAATTCCTACTAAAATACACTAGCAGACTACCTGAAGTTGTGAAGAAACGTGATGATACGTAGTTATAATTCAGGCTATAACACAAATACAATCACTTACCAAACTTTTCAACAGTCCTATTTCTGTGACGATAAATCCACATACGACGATTGTTATTAAAGTAGACCGACGGATCAGAAGTTTCACCTTGTAATCGATCCAACGCAGAACTGACACATTGTTGTAACTATTAGAAAAAAAAGTAAATAACTCGACTAGAGCTTTTAACTAAGATGAATCTTAATACAAACGAAAAAACGGAATGAACACAAATTTAGTGTTGGATAATTTCAGATAATCAGCAGAAATTCGAGGATAGTAAACAAAAATTCAGAATCTATGAATTTTAGGAACTATAACTTCTTTCTGGTAGGAGATTAGACAAAACTGAACAGGCATTAGTTATGTCCCACTTATTTCTACTAAGTTATAGTAATACAACATAACAGAGTGAATCAATTAGAGAAACGAAATGTTTTAGCAATAATTATATTGCATGGAATCGAGTCTTACTTCTGCTTGACGTGGTGAGACGGCGGTTCAGTGGTAAAATAGCTTGACTTTTAATCATTAAACTGCAGATTAAAATGTCCGTCTACCTAGAGTGGTACAGACAGGTAAGTGGTATAATTAAGCCTCACACATTACGTGTAGCTCAGTCTCGAGTGCATGCATAAGTGTTTGGCTTTAAGTTACATATGATTGATTGATCGACTGCCGAGTGCATGAGTTTGTACTTCATTTTTAAGTTATATTAGTAAAGAATAAATCTTTAATCAGTCCTGGGTATATCAATAAAGTTTGATACTGATGTAAACGTTTGAAATGAAACGAGGATATGTTACACTCTCCCAAGATTCTTAATTCATTCCATGACTGAGTTGAGCTAGTGCATTTTCCTATTTATGGTAGGGTAAAATGATCGCCTAGACCGATAGAATTTCGTGTAAAATCTGGTTTATATTCTTCTACTTTCTGATTAATCACGGTTAGCTAATAATTTAGAAATCACTTTAATCAGACGAATATCTTTATAATATCCTTGAGAAATAGCCGTATTTATCTATTAGTTCTGATAGAAAATATTTATTCATGCATTATCTTCCATCAAATCATGAATTTGGATTTTATCTTAAACATTTCCCGATTTAGTTCTTTTCTTCTGAATTGTATCAGACATGTTCAGTTTACTGCTACTGTCAATATTATTTAGTCACTTACGATGGTTTCTGTTAATTTCCTTTCGATATAAGGATGTACCGTGTGATAAATTAGGTCGTACACTTTCATGACTCATTAAAATTTGTTTATGCTTGAAAAATACAGATAAAGCAGATAATTTCAAGTACGTACAATGGCACATGAATTATCCATAGTAATATACATTACATTGCAAACACAACAATACTGAAAAAATCACCTGGCGTGGATTGACATTCGGTAATAAAAAACCGCTATTCTGTACAAGGGTGGTGATATCTGCACGAGTACCTTCTCCATTGGGCAAACAAGCCACAGCGTCTCGGACAATTTCAGCCAAACTTACAAACATAGGGCGGTCAAGCCGCAGTAGAGGATGGTCTCTAGCCTTTGAGTTACCAGACCAATTACGACCAGAATTATACAACACTAAGTCATGACTTAAAGCACTTGGAGCTGAGCGTAACGGTCCAACTACAGCGCAGTAGTTTTGTATGTGATAAACAAATGGAGACCATGGATGAGAAAAACGTTCAGCTTCCTACAAACAATAAAAATATACATAAAACCAATGCGAAACGACGATTTCCATAAACATTACACAGAAGTGTAGACATATGTGCAACCTTGCGTTTGTACTTAGAGAGAATTATAGCTGAATTACCAGCTAGCGCTGTCCATCATATGTTAAGTGTTAAAAATCAACCTACACACTTATGTGCCATTTTAAGAAAATCTCGATAAGCTTCAACTAACACACACGACATTCTCTATCCGCTGATATCTTACGGCAGAGGTATATTAAAAGGCAACAAAAGGGTAGTCTCAATGACCAGTAGAACTAAAATTGTATCAGGTTTATAACTTCAAATGAGCTATAACTATTAAGCATATTGATAGGTATAGCTTTAAAGAATAACTCATCATGAAACAATAGCCTATCGCATAGTTTTCTCAGATGCCGATCAAGTTGCGATGATTTGGGGGATAAAATGGGTAATTAGAATGACCTAAAACCAAAAGACTTTGTACAATCACATTAATAATGAAATCTGCAACAAAAGGTGGGGTAATGAGTAAATAATTCCATCAACCGAGAGGTCATAACAACTTTCCAGTTCTAGTGATTAAGATGCAATCAGTAACAAAACTTAGATTCTCAAATATAGTATCCTTTAAATTGATAAGGAAGCATTTATCGAATAGCATATGCATACCACTAAGTGTTACAAGGAAAAAATACTCATAGGAAGACTTATTCTTTTAACGTGAACAACGGATTTTATGACTTTGCTTAGTTAATTGAAACCGGTTTAGTTGCAGCTTCGCTCACGAAGTCGAATAGCTGGAGGTATTCAACGGTAAGTCCTAAACATAAGTATCATGAACGCAGATGGATAACCCAGTGGTTAGAATACTCAGCTTTTAACAAGTTCCAGGTTCGAACTTCGATCCATCTATTTCGGTTTTGGTAGTTGGATAGTGTCAATAGCCTACACAGTATAGCTTAAAGCTGAGTACAATAATTTGTACATGATGAATGAGTTACATTAATAAAACTCATCAAAAAGTAACAAATAATAAAACTGGGACTTGAGGAATTCAGTTTTTTCAGCAGTCAGTCAGTCAGCTACAACGTAGGACAAGGCACATATATGCATCGGTCCAAGTTGCCATACCTCATTAACACAACAAGATGGACACCGGATTCATAAAAGTAGTTAATTCAGAGGTGGTAATATATAAAAGAAAGATTACAATAAGGATACAGTACAAGAAGAAAGAATTAGTTAGTAGAAAGAAAGACATGAAGCGATTTTAATCTCTTAGTTTAAGGGAAGACAGAGAGTGTATACACCAACGCCATTGTGATCGATTCTCAACCATGTCACCAAGAGTCTCCAACCATTGGTTACGATAATCACGCGAACCCCAACCAAGTAGTCTGCATCTACCAACATGGCTCAGACCAGAAGTTAGTGTCTTCAAGCACTGATGCCACGTTTTCGTTTGGCCGCCCCTGATTCTCTTCCAACCATCCCCAACACTAGTCAGTACTGCACGTTCTGGTAATCGGTGTTCAGCGATACGTCAAAAAGTCCCAACCAACTCAGTCGATGAAGATTCACAACCTCATCAAGTGATTTACCATCATTCCCTAATACCCTGCGTCGAACCTCACTACTACTTACCCGGTGATCCCAGCAGACGCCAGTAATATTTCTAAGGCATCTGTGGTCAAATACTAGTAGCTTACGAGTGTCTTCTACTCTTAATGGCCATGTTTCGCTGCCGTAAATTAAAACAGAACGGACTGCCGCGCAGTATACTCGTCCTTTAATTGGTTGACGGATATCTCGCCTTCGCCATATGTGACGTAAGTTGGCAAAAGCCAAGCGAGCTTATCGAATCCATGCTGAGATTTCGTCAGACACCAACCCATTAGGGCTGATCGGACTTCCAAGTTAAGTGAAGTTGTCAACGTGTTCGACTACTTCACTCCCTATCCTTAGTTCAGGTGTTGACGCAGACCAGTCCTGAAGCAAAAACTTGCATTTACCAGGGGAGAAACACATCCCAAACATCCTGGCATTGTTGCTTAGTGCTACCAAACGACTCTGCATTTTATCAGCGTCTTCACCAAACAGGACTATATCATCTGTGTATTCTAAGTCGATAAGTGGACCTCCTGGAAGGAGATCAATGCCCGAGAATTCAGTCGATGAGAACGTTATTTCCATCAGTACGTTTATGATGAAGTTAAACAAAAATGGAGAAAGTGGACAGCCTTGACGGACACCACTTGAGGTTGCAAAAGCAGATGACAGTTCGCCATAAGCTCTGACTCGACTGGTAGTGTTCGAGTAAAGAGCCTTCACAAGGTTTATGTACTTCTGAGGTACGACTTTCAATGACAGACACTGCCACAGAATCTCGCGGTCTACCGAGTCAAATGCTGCTTTTAGGTCAAGAAAGACCACCATTGTTGGACGTCGATAAGGATCCCTATGTTCTAGAACCTGACGAATGGTGAATATGTGGTCGATGCAGCCACGACCAGGTCTGAAGCCAGATTGATTCTCTCATGTTTGCAGTTCACGAGTCTTAGTTAGGCGTCTGATAATTATCGAGGCTAGTATTTTAGATACTATATTAGTTAAACTAATCCCTCTATGGTTGTCACAGGATGATTTTAACACTCTTATATATTGGGACGATAAGTGATTGTGACCAGTCAGATGGAATAACGTCTAACTCCCAGATCTTAGCTAAAATATTAGTCAACCTAATCGCTAAAATTGGACCACCATCCTTAAAGATCTATGGAGCCAATCCATCTGGACCAGCTGCCCTTCCTTGTTCCAGATTGTCTATAGCCTTTCGAACCTCTGCTAGAGTTGGGGAACCTACTTCAATGTTCCATCCATACTGTCTGGGAATGGAGGGTAGTTGTAGAGTAGCTGAAGGCCAGCTGAACTGTTCTCTGAAATGTTCCGCCCATCGTTCTAAACATCCGGACTGAGAGCAGATGAGGGTGTCGTCTTTCTCCGAAATAGTCTGACTTACACTTGACTTATTAATTCCAGTTTCTTTTATTAGTCTGTAGAGCTGTCTTGTGTTCCCTATAGCCACCGCCTTTTCCATCTCTTTTGCTTTCGTTGCCCACCACTGCTCACGGTCGTTTCTTAGACTTTTGCCTAACCTAGATTTGATTTGTTTTCGCTCTTTATCGTGTTCAGAGCCTGATGGGATGAGTTTACGAGAATCCATCAGTGCAGTAGACGTTGAGGGAATCGATTGGTTCTTTGTAACCCTGTGGTTTAAATCACTGATAGATGTCACTGCTGTTTCCACAGCTGTTTGTATAGCTTTCCAAGCAACATCTGGGTCAACCTCGTTTTCAGAACTACCTAAGTGTGACCTCAGTTGTTCCTGGAACCTACTTCTGGTTTTCTCGCTACTCAATTCAGTTCTAACGGGTCTTTTTACTGTGGCTTTTTTGCGTCCAGTGAGGCGCAAGCAGATGCGTGCCCGTATTAGGGCGTGGTCGGAGTCCAAGCAGGTACTCCAGAATGAGCGACAATCTTCTATCGACCCTCTCCAACGATGACTGATGGCAATATGGTCTATTTGAGTCCATCGTTGGTTCTGAAGAAGTTCAGATAGCTTTCTGTAAAATTCATCTTTCAATTATCTGAGCTGCAGTCGGTGGGAGCGTAGGCAGAAACGACAAAAAGGCAACGACGTGTGTCCCTATCCTTCCGAGTTCTTACGGAGCCGTTTAGTCGAACAGTACATAAACGACTGTTAACGGGGATCCACTCTATCAGTGCTTGTTCCGCCCTCATGCTTAGTGCTATGCCTACTTTTGCCAGTCCACGAGAGCTGGCCGTCGGGTCACCAGATACACGGAGGGTGTATCTCGTTGGCTCTCCGTTTTGCCGAGGTGAGGTCAAGTGAATGACCACACTGGGATCCTGCATGCGTGTTTCAGAGACATAGCATACATCAATGGTACGAGATTCTAGGGTTCTAGCCAAGGAAGTCTGTTGAACGATTTGACATAGGGTGTGTACGTTGAAGGCTCCAATGAATAGTTTGAAGCGAGGTTTCAATAGACCTGGGACAGTGTTTTGAGCACTAGAATCGTTGGCTATGGTGACACTTGAGGGGGAAGCCGAAAAAGGAAGTTTAGAGGTGAAAGTCGATGTAGGAGCAATAATAGGAAGCGAAGACGGAGGTTGATTATGAATACAGTGGTCTCGAGTGCTGTTAGAGGTATGAGGGCGGTTATCACTTCCCGGTCGCCCACACCGTGGAAGGGTTCTTCTGGAGGTACCTGAAAAGGAAATTGGATTAGGGGTGGTCTTAGTGACCTGAGAGCGTGACCGCAGTGCCCAAGGGACAACTGCTTGAGGTCGGTCACACACGACCTTTTTGTGGGTAATTTTTGTGTTAGCTCCGTACTTGTTGAGACCTTACCGCCGGAGACGGATATCCGTGGGATAAGGCGAGGTGTGCATTTTTAGGGTCTACCTTTTCTAACCCCACCCCTCCTTGTAGGAAGGCAGCATCGCTGTCATGCTGGTTGTCTGAAGGAAACACCTTACTGCTGTCACACCTCTGTACAGTCAGCAGTACGACTTCGCCTTCGAACCTTGGGTTTGTTGCTTTTAGTCTTACCGCTCTTCAACCGACCTTTCTGACATGGTAGGACCTTGAGGAACGGTTGTCTCAGCCAGTATAGCTCGGTTGCTTCATCACGTTGGCAAGCCCGACCACCACGTCAAGGTAGCAACAACGGTCGGGAGTTTTTTCAGCATAGTTATTAGTATTCAAGTGACCAATTCACTTTTATACAAGTAACTTTAGGTGTAGTAGATGAATAAATTAATGAGTCGATATTATGGACAAAGTAGAAGTTATCTCTTTTATTATTAGTTAATTTATATTTAGATGCATAAAAATACAAACACTAAACTTACTTGCAATTGAAAATCAGCCTTCTCTTCCTTTGAAAATGGTCGGAGTTTCCATCTAGTTGGACTGGAATGAAAGAGAAGCTGACTTACAATACCACGGGACATGCATAATAGAAAGTATTAGTTTCTGTAGAGAACAGATGTGATCGAATAACAATAAATATAGAAAGCCTCTAATGTCAAATACTTTCACAAAAAATACACAACACAGAAAAATGCCAATTACATAATCTTTATGCCACAATTGCATAAATGAACAATTTGTCGGGACATTGTGTTTATGTGCAACAACACTTACGTACAGTGAAATATCGTGGTCAATTTATATTTAATGATATATCCCTGTTCTAATACTGAACTGTTTTGTTTCCGTGCTGCTGGAAGGAGGAACATTTTGAATTAAGAAAGCCATCATGACACATAGTTTTTTATTCCATTTGTCTAAAACACGAACTTTACTTAAGTACAGGCACCGAGCATCTACTGAGCGTGTAAATAATAGCAAGAAGGGTTTACGAATGTAAAATCAGTACATATCAATAACCAAAGAACCATTTTAATGTTGATTACAATCATTATTTCTGTCCTTAAAGTTGTATATGTTTAGGCTGAAAAATTTATACGTTTAATTTTTAATAACTAAGAATAAAATAACCTAAAAAACACTTATCTCTTAAAAAAAAAAGTACGTGAAAAATAGAGTTATGGTCATAACCGATAGTTGAAATCTCAAAAGTGAAAATATATGGCTGATGAAATTAGACTTACTAGAGTGGTGGAGGGATATCATCGTCGGAATAAAGTCGATTATCTTCATGGGATATTGACTGTTGAGAGTGTTTTGATGAAATGTTTCTTCTAATCTTTTGGATGTCTCCACTTTTCTTATCGCCATCATCTGACTCAACTTGGCAATCATCTATTCGTAAACATCTTTGACCTTCATCAATTTCTGAGTCTTCTACATCACCGTCACCATCAGATCCTCCAGAATACTGTTTTTCCATAACTGAAGGATTTGTATTCTTAACGGATTTGACTTTATTCCTCCTACTCAAAAGCAAGGAGTCTGTTATCGACAAAACTGCATCTGTCAACCCACCAAGACCACGAGGAGCTCGAAGCCAGTCAGAAAATAAACCCGTCAACTCTCTGGTTTCCAGTTCAAATTTTTGGATCCATTCTTGGTCGACTTTAGGGTTTATTTCTGATGGGGGGCACAGGAGCCAACACCACTGATGAATGCGCGGTTTTAAACTAACAAACGGTCTCGGACATACAAGCCGGCGAGAACTGTTACGTATGACACTTTCGGGTGAACTTTCTGCGGTAAGAAAATCTAATGCATGATGAGTTACAGAAGACCAGTCTTCAACCTGAATAAAAATCGTGTTACATTAAAACAAAACTAAACTAAATGTAGATCGAAATGATCAATTATCTGTAAACTGATAGTCGTGAAATCGGGTTGATACACCGAGGCAAACTAAGGACCAAACAGACAAAATATCGTCTAATTGTTATCAATGAAAACTCCGCCTGTAGCTCTTCTAGAGTTACTGCCGGTCCCAAGCCCGGGTAAAGGACGAGGGTTGGGCATGGGGTTAGCGTCTACATTCCGTAGAAAACTAACTCGCTAAAAAAACGCTTACCAGAAAAAATAATTCAAACCATTTTAACTCTGCCCTGGGAGTTAGAAGGTCTTCATGTAAAAGGATTATGACGCTTCATGGTGAAAGCCGAGTTCCTTCGGAAGCCACGAGGCCGATGCCCCTTCTAACAACCAGAGCAAAAATTTTTGTAGGTACATGGAACGTTCGAACAATGTGGGAAACCCGGAAGACCAGTCAAATAACTACGGGAATGAGGAGATACAATTTGGCAGTACTGCGAATCAGCGAAACCCACTGGACCCAAGCTGGACAGAAAAGGCTAGCTACGGGAGAGATGCTGCTATACTCCGGTCACGAAGAGGAAAATGCTACACACACTCAGGGAGTCGCTCTTATGCTATCCAAAGTAGCACGAAATGCACTTGTAGGATGGGAATCTCACGGATCCAGAATCATCAAAGCATCATTCAAAACAAAGAAGGAGGGGATCTTAATGAATATTATCCAATGTTATGCACCCACCAATGATAGCAACGACGACATTAAAGATCAATTCTACGAGCGGCTGCAGTCAATCATAGAGAAATGCCCAAGAAAGGACCTCACCATTCTAATGGGAGATCTAAATGCCAAAGTCGGGATAGACAACACTGGATATGAAGATATCATGGGGCGACATGGACTGGGACAGAGAAACGAAAATGGAGAAAGATTTGCAAATCTATGTGCATTCAACAAATTGGTCATAGGAGGCACAATATTTCCACACAAGCGTATACACAAGGCTACATGGATCTAACCGGACCACGCTACAGAGAACCAAATAGATCATATTTGCATCAACAAAAAATTCCGAAGGACAATGGAAGATGTGAGAAACAGGAGAGCAGCTGACATAGCTTCAGATCACCTAGTTATGGCCAATTTAACTGGAAAAGCATCAAGGAAGCATTAACTTCAACGTGTCAAGAGGTTCTGGGCCTAAAGAAACACCATCATAAGGAATGGATCTCCATAGAAACTCTGGACAAGATCAAAGAAAGGAAGAACAAGAAGGCAGCAATAAACAACAGCCGAACACGAGCAGAGAAAGTCCAAGCACAAGCTGAATACACAGAAGCAAACAAGCAAGTGAAAAGGAGCATTAGAGCCGACAGGAAGAAATACGCGGAAGAATTAGCAACGACGGCAGAAAAAGCTGCTAGAGAAGGAAATATGAAACAACTTTACGATACAACGAAGAAACTAGCAGGGAAATACAGTAAACCAGAGAGACCGGTCAAAGACAAAGAAGGCAAGCCAATCACTGAAATTCAACAACAGTGGAACAGATGGGTAGAATACTTCGAGGAACTCCTGAATAGGCCTGCTCCAATGAATCTAGTGGACATCGAAGCAGCACACACAGATCTTCCTATAGATGTCAACCCACCAACGACGGAAGAAATCAGAATGGCCGTCAGACAAATCAAGAACGGGAAAGCAGCAGGACCTGACAACATACCAGCAGAAGCACTGAAATCAGACGTCGAAGTAACCACAAGCATGCTTTACCTTCTATTCAAAAAGATTTGGGAGGAGGAACAAGTGCCGATGGACTGTAAAGAAGGACACCTCGTCAATATTCCAAAGAAAGGAGATCTGAGCAAATGTGAAAACTACAAGGGCATTACACTACTGTCAATACCAGGGAAGGTCTTCAACAGAGTGTTGCTGAACCGGATGAAAGATGCAGTAGACGCCCAACTTCGAGATCAACAAGCTGGATTCCGTAAGGATCGGTCGTGCACAGACCAAATTGCAACACTACGGATCATCGTCGAACAATGAGTTGAGTGGAACTCGTCACTATACATCAACTTCATTGATTACGAAATGGAATTTGACAGTGCGGATAGGAGGACGTTATGGAAACTTCTCCGACACTACGGAGTTCCTGAGAAGATTGTCAACATTATCCGGAACTCATACGACGGACTACAATGCAAAGTAGTGCATGGAGGACAGCTGACAGATGCATTCCAAGTAAGGGCCGGAGTCAGACAAGGCTGTCTACTCTCTCCCTTCCTCTTTCTTCTGGTGGTCGACTGGATTATGAAGACCTCGACATCTGAAGGAAAACACGGAATACAATGGACAGCTCAGAATCAATTAGACGATTTGGACTTCGCAGGTGACCTAGCCCTCCTATCACGTACACACGAACAGATGCAGATGAAGACAGCCAGTGTAGCAGCAGTCTCTGCATCAGTAGGCCTCAGTATACACAAAAGGAAAACCAAGGTCCTCAAATTCAAAGCGGAGAACAGCAATCCAATCACTCTTGATGGCGAAACTCTGGAAGATGTAGAATCCTTCACATACCTGGGAAGCATCATCGATGAACAAGGAGGTTCAGATGCAGACGTAAAGACGAGGATTTGCAAAGCAAGGGTCGCACTCCTACAATTTTAGAACATATGGAACTCAAAACAACTGTCAACCAATATCAAAGTGAGAATCTTCAATACGAACGTCAAAACAGTTCTACTGTATGGAGCTGAAACTTGGAGAACTACAACAACCACCATCAAGACGGTACAAGCATTTATAAATAGTTGTCTACGCAAGATACTCAACATCCATTGGCCGGATACCATCAGCAACAGCCTTTGGTGGGAGAGAATAAACCAACTTCCAGCTGAAGAAGAAATTAGGAAAAGACGATGGAAATGGATAGGACATACATTACGCAAATCATCAAACTGCATCACGAGGCAAGCCCTAACTTGGAATCCTGAAGGGAAGCGGAAAAGAGGAAGGCCAAAGAACACATTACGTCGGATAATACAAGCAGATATGAAAAGGATGAATAGGAACTGGAAGGAGCTGGAAAGGATTGCCCAGGACAGGGTTGGATGGAGAATGCTGGTGAGCGACCTACGCTCCTTCACGAGTAACAGGCGTAAGTAAGTAAGTAAGTTATCAATGAAGGATTTCTACTTACTACAGTAAAGGCGCTTAAACATCTTAAGAGCTTCGCATTTAGTACATATATGTGTAATGATACAAAACTGATTGTCATTAACTACATTTCAATCACTGAATTAGTTAATACAATCGTGTATATTACGCAAAGTAACGGAGAAAAGTAAAATCTACGCAATTATTTGTGATTGATAGAAATCGAAAAGTTCTTGACAGTAAAGTATTAACTGATGAGTATGTCAGAAATTATCCAGTCGTACTAAAAGCTATGAAATGATTGACGTTAATACACATTTGCATCTTAAAAATAAAAGTTTTAGCTCTAAGCATGCTCAGTTTGTCATTGCTTTCATTAGCTACTATAGTAACTTAAAAATGACTTTCTCACAAATACCACATAAGTTAGATTTTTATGCCCCCAAATGCCCTGGTACGGCTGAGAGTGAGGAGAACCAGCTCCCCCTCTCAAAATGCTCCCACATGAACACATGTATACAGCTACTATCAGGGAAGTCCAAAACACTGCCTTCTCGTGGTGCACATGAGCTCCAGTATCCTGGGGAAACAAATAGCGTATGAACATGGTGTTGGTCACCGGTTACCGTAAGACTGTATCTCTTAACGTTGCTCTACTGCCTTGTGGATTAGACCTATAGGTCAAAGGCACGGGGTATGACCCTCTAAGAAAACCACGAGCTTCTGTTTTGGCTCCCAGGCAGTATTCCAGCTCTCACAAAAATCGAATGAAGTGTGGCACACATACATTCGGTGCCTAATTGTACCAGATTTCATGTGTTTGAATAAATAAATATTTTTTCTGCATTCTGATATATCGACCATGAATGAGAAACTGCAGAAGTTTGATAGATATGTAAGTTTATAGAAGGACATAAAAGTTTGGATCATAAAGTGATTAAAGATTTCATGGAAAGGAAAATTCTATCCGCTGAATCCTCTTTATTTTTATTCAATGACACAAGCGGTTAATTACACGAACTAAAGAATTTATTTTTAGGGACGAAATTGAACTACATTCTTACAGATGCATTTCGAAAATAAACACTTTACATAATTTACCCGATCGATCCAGCTGCAACCTCTCCCAACCGTTCTTAACCTGTTTTGATTGCAAACCTGCCATTCACGAACATATTCACAAATCTGAGCTGTAGTTAATCTCCTCCGTACACCCCCATGTGTAAGAAATCCTCTAAGTAAACAGAAAAAGCCATTTTCTGACCTATATGTAAATGTAAAAAGTTGATACGGATATTTAAATCATTGATCCACATAGTCATGACTTCACTATGTAGAACAACACATTGCATTCTCCAAACAGACATTTTATTAGTTAAGCTCTTAGTTAGCAATGGAAAAACATGACGTCAATCATATCTTTCTAGCTTAAAATCAAATTATTTGAAAAGATTCACAATGTTTGCAAATAATTTCAACTACAACATATAAGATGGCATCATTTCACCATGAAGTGTACTATGAATATATGATAAACTTTTACAACAGATGATCGAAAAGCATGTTAAAAAGTTAAATAACATTTAAAGGGGTTCAGTTACTATTTAGATGTAGTGACCAGGATCATACAAATAAACTTACGAGGGCCAGTGATCAACAGGGATTTTTTCTGACTTAGCATTCAAGCCTGGAACCCGGCGTGTGTGCTTCGTGAAACTTTGTGATACGGTTGAACGAATCTTACGCGATGCAGATCCCTTCAGCTTTTTGACGACTGTATTACCAGAATTCTGTGATCTGGCAGTCTCTAACAAACGACATAGTTTTTCACGGTTCTTTTCCAGGTTGGAATCATTATCTATGATGTTGCTTTGACGTTTTAAATACAAGTGAATCATTTTATCAAGACCTAAAAATGGAAAAAAAATGTCTATGAACAACGACGATAAATTTATCTAGCAAACAATAAGCTTAGGTTTCTGGTTATAGGAAATCTTATTTAAAAAATGAATGGGTAGTGTTGCTGGATTGACAAGTCCTAGTTACATCATTATATGGTGTTTATCAATACATCCTAATAGACAATCACTGGTCAGACGTTAAATCCTTTGTCTGAACTTGTCAAGTGAATTTAGGACCGACAAGTGATAGGTTTTGTTCAAATTGTTCTTGATTTTATTCCTCTATTATCAAATATAACTACTCAGTGGATAAGAAAACAAATAGTCAACTCATTTACCAAGTACTTGGGTATGAGCTACACTTTAATTGTGAGATCTAATGATACTGCCCAAAACAAAGTAAGTGAAGTAAGGTTTGGGTGTGAGACCTAGTGGCTGAAAGACGAATGCCTTAACAGCTAAGCTTGAGTTATTACGTAGCTTGAGTTGTAAGACAGGAAAATTCGACTATACAACCAGAATTTCCTGGGATGCCGTTGAGTTGTGACTATCACCTCAGAATGAGTAAGCACAGTGGATACATATTTCAAATTAACTCTATAACTGGTTAGGGATAACAAAAATGTCAATTACGTATACACTCCGAGTCCCCAACTGGGCTCCTAGAGTTCAAACAACCACTTACTAGAACTGATTTGTGCCGCATAAATAAACCCAAGGGAGACAGTTATGTCCAGCAAAAACGAGACGATTGACCTTCCGAATACTTAGATAAACTTTACACCTCTTAAGTGGCTTGTACCGAAAGCTTGAATTAAGAATCTGGAGAAATTTTCGAGTGTTTAGGGTATTTTAGTATTATTGAAAGCTACGTTGCTCTTGATAGGTCAGTTTCCAGCTACATCACGGAGTACACACAACATTTATATAGGTATCCTCAACCCACACTAACAATGATATAAGTGACATACATGACCACTTATTATGGACTTAGCATACTTGGTAGTGATTCAAACTCCTTTTGTTTGACTGTAAAACACCAATGTTAAGATCGGATCGTATTTATAGGTCACAGGTATTTATTTGTCTCCAAAGCGCTGTGTACTAGGCTTAATAGAGGAACAAAATAAATACTACTGGAAGCCGCCATTATTAAACATGACTGCCTATAGCTTTTCACACTGTACCACGCCTTCGGGACTTGTGTCAACACATTTTCGTTCTTGGGGTTCATTGTCATTAAGGAAAGCAGTGCTAAGAATAGGTTAGATGAATTAGGTTGCAAGTATTTATGAAAATATGTCTTCAGAGCACTTGCAGTGTATTAGAACAACTGAAAGGGATGTTGAGGTTGTTCAATATTTTAGGTAAAGAAAATAAGCTAGCTTGCCGGCTTCTAATAGTTAATATAAATGCTATCTTTTATAATAGTGTTTAAATAGCAACACGTAAAACAATATGATGTACATAGTAATATATGAACCCATACAAGATAGAGCTGTCAATGAACATTTACAGGTTCATTTCTTACTTCAATATTACCACGCCGATGCAGAGTACGGACCAACTTGCAATAGCTACGTCGTAGAAGGGCAATACACTGAACTGGATAGCATTCTACTCTGCATTACTCCACCGCTATGTAACATGGTCTGTGAAAGTAAAGAAACAGGCTGGATGGGGGCTTCCGATCATAGGTTTCTTTCAAGTGTTCTGCCAGAATCCGATGTTCGGAAAATACAACTGTTGTGCCTAGTGTATGATGGTTTTCAGTTGGATTATTGTAACGGTCACATCAACATCAGATAAAAATCCATTAAAGGCAGATGAGACAGACAATAAAGACAGTTGTATTGAGCAATGACAATACCAAATACCCGAGAATGAAATCCGGGAATTATTTGTTTAAAGTACAATAGTTTTAGTATGGAATCTGTGCTACTAAAACAGAACAAATTGAGTCAACCTAAGCTGAGCAACTCAATTGAGACGTTTTGTTAGGCATTCATACACTAGTTTGTTAGCCAGCAGTGACAAACACTTGTTTTCTGCGTCAAAAATTAAAGTAACCACTTGATGTAAACTCCAAGATAAAGTCTACTTTGCAATTCCCAGACATTTTGCTCTAAATTTAAGAAATACCTTCAAAGGTTTACGGCGAGTTCTAAATGTTCTCACACATATGTAGAACATGTTGCGATTTACTGCTTTGCCTCAAAGAAAGCCTAACTACTTCAGGGGAATGAAAACGGAGAGTAGTGGATGGAACCTATAGCTAAAGGGAACTTCAGAGACTCCAAAGATTTGGTAATATTGTGTAGGCATTTGTGAAGTACTATTCGGGTAACTAAAGATACAGGTGGGGTAGTTGTCGGACATAGTATTGCCTTAAAATATAAAATAAAATTCACATACCAACTTTAGTTTCTTTATCATCCGTTCTGGGTAACTTGAGTCCTTTTGCCTGAAGCTCAATATCATTTATTAACCTATATATTCATACTCAATTGTAACCGTCATATGAAACCAAACCTCTCGTAACGATTCGCAGCTATCGAATTTATTTGGTTCTCTACTTCATCATCATCAAGAAAATCTTTCTGGGCAGCGCACGCATCATTACATGAGTTCTGTTAATTCAGTGTATAAGAAAAGTTAATATGATTTGCCTGTATGTTTTCCAAGTCTTCTCCAAATTTAGAGAGTAGAATATCTGCTAAAGTTTTTCGTCTTTCTCCTAACAAGGAGTAAAACTCCTCTACCTTCATTATCGTTTGTTAGCGCCGTTCTCCAAGGTCAACTTTGGAAACCAAATAGAGGGGCAAGAATACCATGTCCAATGTAGCATCAGACTTCAGATTCAAACTTGAAGAATGAACGGGGTTATTCAGTATAAATCTTTTTCTAGTTCTTTTTCTGTAAGACCAAATGTAAGAACAGAAACTACTACTTTTAACAATAGGTTCCAGGTGCTTTTCAACGATAGTTGTTGGGGTTCCCTTAGTTATAACACACGAAATTCCTTCGTCATGGTTCCGATTGTATCCTATCCTGTCAGAGTTTTAGAAAGGGCCAGGTGTTTCCTTATTGTCTTTATCTACATCTATCCATTATTTCAATGAAATGATGAAACAATCAGTATTCAGACTGTAGATCACAAACGATCTGTGTCAGGTGGGTTAAAACCCTACGTTTCCACGTAAACCTGATGTATCACCCAGTGTAATAGCGGTCATGTTCACGTTCATGTAGTCATTGAATTCGTTATATTATGACGTATTTTTTATTAAAGAGCTATAATATGCTGTGAATTTTGCTCTGGTTGGAATTTTGATTTGCTACGTCTGACTGCGTTACGCCGGACATGTACTGCATGCTGGAATGATATTCTAATCTATAGTAAGTTTACTCACAGCGTTAGTTTTTTCTAAGTAGACCGTTACTGGAGAAAGGTTTGTTGTGCTGTAAACTATGTTTTTATGAGTAAGCGACTGTTGTCTTCAAACACCAAACAATATCGTTTGTCTTCTGTTGTTTCGTTAAGCTTCTGGTTTATTACTGCAGAGGTAAACATTTGAACATAAACTCTAGTATATTCAGTATTTTTTAAACGAAAACACAGGTATTTTCATTCGTACGTTACTACCCCTTCTGAACTGATAGCAGTTAGATACCGATTTGTAATTAAATCAATTCTCATACTCAACCGCTTCTGTGATATTATTACGTGTTAATGCACTGGTACAATTATCTATCTGTTCTAGAAAAACGTTTGGACGAATTCTCATGAATTAGGAAATCAGTTTCCCTTTTTGACTTATTTGAAGCTAAATGCTCCGTCATTGCTCTCGTAAGACATGTTGTAGAAGAACATAAAAGAAAAGGAAATTAAGGGAAATGAATATTGTAGTTTGTCTCAAACCGAAGAACTAATAAATCATCATAAGAGAGAAGATAATCTAATTAAAATCATGGGAAATTAGTGTTCTGGCTTTCGTCTTTAAGGAAAGTTGGTAAAAAGACTGAGTGTTGACAAAATGTTCCTTCCAAATATGAAACCCTTGAGATATACATTTGAAATTTTTTCACTGGTAGTCAAAGTGGTAAAAATTCTTGGAATATTAGGGACACGTATCCACAGCTACTCTGATCTAAATATTTTTATTGTTAGAAAAAGATGAATCTCATCGAAATGGCCTGAATGTTAGCAGATCGGTATATACTGGATAATGATGTTTATGCGAAAAGTGTTCCCAGTGATAAATGTTAAAAGCGTATATTTTGTCATTAATTTAACAAAACAAATAATACTTAAATATAACAATCCATGATAGACATAGTCATTTGGATTTATGTATATAATCTATTTCTAAAGAAAATCAAGTGAACATAACTGATGGGTCATTTTGCTCACTGAGTCCATACTAGGCATAGATTCATAGAGTTAATTTATTGATATCTTTAAAAATATATAGAAGGAGAAATAATTTAACCATTGGGAATTTTGTTTTATTTCTTAATAAAATGCTTATATTTTGCTCAAAAGACCGAAGGAATATTTAGGAATTATTATATCGTAAGTAAGTTTCCATGAAATACAGAAAAGAGTATCCTGAAAACTTTAAATCACCAAATTCAAACAAGGAACCAATTTTTTTTATATTTTCGCCCCCTCCCAAAAAAATTGAAATTTCAAAGAGAACTGTAAAAGAACATTCTACATTGACATCAATTTTCGTATAAACCATAAAATGCTCATTAAATTACCTAATAGTTGACACATACACATATGAAATTATCTTCGGTTTTGAATTCATAATTTTACTTGTACTTTGAATTTGTTGATATATAATGAACTATATCACTAAACAAGCTATGATTTCTTAGTAGAGTTCATATTGTATTACCTATCAAACAATTAAATGCTGAGATAATCTTAAATTCAAAATTCTCAGTAACTTTGTGAAACTTTGATTTGTATGCTTTCACAACATTTATTTATTCCAATAAGATAAATGATATATATTTACGAATGTATACAATTATATATGTTGTTATCAGTCATAATGAAATTATTATAATCAGAATGGGTTTTGTGGAGAAATTATAACTTAATAATAAATGATTTTGAAGTATTTATTTTCAGAAGACTGATGTTCATATAGTGTTTTGATTAAAGTAATCAATCTGTTATAAAATAATGTAGGTAAAGTAGGTTCATCAAAATATGCTGAGAGATAATAATACCAGTCACCCATAGAAATCATAGGGATTATGATCTACATACTTAATTGTAATGGTTAGTGGTGGCAATGTTAAATTTATGTTTTATAATACAAAGAAAAATGATACAATATATCATAGTTGACTTTACAATAAATTTACTAAAACTGGGTTGAAATATTACATGAAACCAGTTCAAATGATGAAACTTCTTTAAAGTCTAGTGTACTAATAAAGTAGCTAAAAAATAATAGTTTACGCTTAGATTTAATGGAGGAACATACCTATAAGAAAACAGGCTTAAATCAACAAAGCAGAAATAGGTCAAGTGATATACTGACAAAACTATAGTTAGTTGGACTGTAATTGGGATGTAAATTAGCATAATATAAGAAGATATGTGGTAGTGAACTATATCACAGTAGGAGTATGCCTATAGGCGTACACTGAACCTAATATGTTTCAACTGTTCCTGAAAAGATTATAAATAAAGTCATTAGTTTTTGACGAGATATTTTCTGTATGAAATCAGTATTCGGAGTAAACCACGTCATTCTTAGAGTTCCTCTTCGTCAAGCAGTGACGAGGATCTATGTATGATCTATGTAGATCAGTGCTAATCGATCTAGGAGAAGTATAGTTTACATAAACTATTAGGTCTTTAGAAACAACATAATGAAAAGGCACAACTAGAAAAGATTCATGATTATTAAATCTAGTCTTTCTCCGTGAATCTTTAAAGCCAAAATTTTCGGATAAATGGTATTTAATGTTTTAAATGTTTTTCATTACTTATCTACATCACACTTATTAATGTATTTTATAATAATCATAAAACGAAATAACTTACTGTTAAACAATATAAGTAGATTAAACCAATTTGCAAAATTGGATGAGCATTTATGACATGATCAGCAGATTGCATGCAGATTTTAAACAAAAGAAACAGACATTCGTTTAAGACTTTATTGCGAGAAAGCCTCTAATCCTGATAATCTTTTTGACTATATTTTTGCGGTCACGATTATAAGGTTACAAATGTTTCCTGATAGTATTGATTTCGCTGCTAGCATTGAATTCAGAATGATAGATATAATTGTTTAAAGATCTCCGTCATATTAAAAAAACAGATATGCGAGCGAGGAGTAATAATTTGAATAAGTCTTAGCTTTTAAATTCGATTCAAATAAACAATACCTACTAGCCATTTCAATATTAAAAATCTAGCTTATTTGATCAACAACCTTAACTTTACGTATTGTAATTGCAAATGGTATTTCATACAATTTTGTTGAGCTCCATAATGATATAACTTTGCATACTGTTCAGCTCATGAGGAGAAAATAAATGCACTATTTTAAGATCTTTTGCATACAAAAGGGGCTTGTCCACATAAAAACACTCACAACTATCATTGATAAAAACTTAAAAGA